GAATTCTGTACCAATTGATACTGAAATTTTAGAAACGTTTATTTCAGATACAGGGACACTGGAGCGCTTTAAAGCCCCAATTCATCAGCGGATCGCTCGTATGTCAGCTTAGACAAACCAGTTGAGCAATGGGACTTTGCACTGGACAGTGAACTGATGCCGACCAATCACAGTTATTTCACACAATGGCAAATCAGCGCTGTGTAATAACGTGCTTATCAGTGTTCAAATGTTAGCGGGAATGGACAATATTAAAATTTCACTGTCGATTGGTCTCTAATTTTAATATTGTGACAACCCTAGTCTTTTTTTTGGTTTTCAAATGCCCGCGAGTGTCTTGCGCTTTGCTTTTGCACCCTACGCACCTCGCAGTTTAACTGCCTGCGGAGTCTCGCGTTTCTGTCGTTGTGCTCTGTGTCTACAGTTTAAAAACTCTGAGCAGAAAAAGCGTGCTACGTCAGCCTTTTTGCATTGTCCAATCAAAAGAAAGCAGAGGCCGGGTTTCCATGAGGTGAAAGCTGTGTTTGTGTTGTGTTTTAAAGATGGTGTAGAGATTAGTGGTCACCATACCTGACAAAAATGAGATGTGAAAATAAGGGGTACACCACCCGCTAAAATTGGTTGTTTTTTAAAGAAAAATCACCAAGATCAACATGTTTAGATATTGTTATTATTATTATTATGTGTATATGTGTGGTCAAACACGCACTCAAAACATAGTGTCCACTTTCGCACTGCTTCAAAACGCATGTACAGAATCCATTTGGGAAATAATCTGCCAATGGAGTAAGCTAAATAATCTTATGTCAAAAGGAATAGCAAGATTATTTTGCTTACCCCATTGCCTGTATATTTTGCTTGTTTTAAGGGAAAACTCAGTTAACATTGGCATATTATTTCTTTAAACAAGGCATTTTGTTTTGCGTGTCTAGAAAATGCTTCTTGATTTAAAGGGCACCAATGGTGAAAAATCTTCTTATCCAGCTGTTTGGACAGACATGTGTGTAAGTATAGCGTATAGACCGTCATATTGGAGTGATATAAACACATCCAGTCCATTTTTTTTGGTTATCAATAACAATATTGGCATATCATTTCTTAAAGCAAGAACAGATGTTTCGCTTCTCTAGAAAATGCTCCCTGATATAAGAATTTTTGGATATTTGGACTAGAAACAAGACAAAAAAAAAAAAATCTTATAAAAGCATCTTTTGCAATGAAAATGATGACAGAATTGTCATTTTCAGGGGGAAATATACTATTATAACAAATAATTACAACAACAACAATAACAAAAAGGAAGACTTTGTTCATACAATCACACACATGCATGCATTGGCTGCAAGTGTGTACATCTAAGACTACAACATTGGCATGTTATTTAACCCTTTTATTAGAGAATCACAATTTTTTTTAGGTTACAGAATAGAGCGCATTGAATTAACCCTCTCAAGGCAGGCGTTGCTGATTTGCAACAGTTAAAAATTAACTACCTTATTACTCCAGATACATATTTTCTGAGTTTTTTTTACTCAGAAGTACCAGGACTTGGTTGTCCTTTAGCAACAAACAGTTTCCCCACTTGCTCACCAGATGACGCACACACAAAAAAAGTTTCTTGGACTACCACATGACAAAGTGACTTGGAAACATGACCTCCTCAATGAGGATTTGAGATATTGGATTTGGATCCCATATTGTTTATGTTGTTGTTCTGCCACTGAAAAGCAATTCGTTACATTGTTTGAAAAGTTGTATATAAAAAGGTAGTGTTCATATCATATTCAATCGTCAGTAGGGTTGTAACAATATACCGGTATGACGGTTTACCACGATTTGAACGTGCACGATTATCATACCATGAACAATTGCATATCAACGGTTTTAACCCTTAAAGACCGAGACAGCCGCCCGCGGCTAAAAATAAGTATTGCTCTTAAATGTTTAATAACTTTTGATCCGCTGATCCGATTCATACAATTCAAAGATTGGCATAAAGAAGAGAATCTCAGCTTCAGTGCTGTATCACATAACATTCGCGGACTTTCAGAGGCTCCGGAATCAGTGCGGTTACGTCATCAACATTTGACAACGCTGATTTGACAAAGAAACGCTCGTCACTGTGTCTCCGGACAAACCAGACATGATACATTGATGCATTGTCCCTCCTCCATGCCCAGATTGGTTCAAACTCGCTATATCACAACCAATAAGCATAGGTTTCGCTTTTGTTTGTGGACCAACAATGAGCTTTTTGAACAACACAGAATGAGAGATAGGCTTTACATTTATGCGCGGCTAAATAAAACGCAAAAAAAAAAAAGTTTTGCATGAAATAATTCTCATACTAAGTACTTTTGCATGCACAGCAGCACAGAAACATGACAAAACAGTGACACAGCAAAGACGAACTGCTGCTCTTGCTGTTTTCAAAAGACACAAATGAAGGTGCAGCTGTTTGTCTGCATTGCAGACAACCATATCCAAATCCATATCCACAGACAACCATATCCATGCTGGCACATAAAACCTAAAGATGTTCCATATTGAATCTAGTTTCGTTATGTAACTATTTATAGTATAGTAAATATTTATATCTATTTTTTTACTGAGGATTTGCACCATGTTTATTTGGACTTTGACACATTATTTATTATTTTCTTATTTTTATTTGTTCATTGTAAGTGGTGTTGTTTATAGTAACTAAAAATATATTATTTGGAAAAAGTCAAATTTGCTTCACTGTTCTATTATTTTGTAACATTTGTAACATACCGTATACCGCGAAACCGTCAAACCGTGGTATTGTTTTAGACGATTATCATACCGTAAAAAATTTATATCGTTACAACCCTAATCGTCAGTGTCTAATTACTACACTTGGCCAATGTTGCAAATCTGCAACATCCCAGAACACCTTGCATGTGAAGGTCTCTCTAAAAAAAAAAAAAAAAGTCAGGATTCTATTGTACTACCCCATATGATAATTTTCCCTAAATATCAGATTTTTCCTGTTTTTAGAAATTAATTTGAGCCTGAGAGGGTTAAATAAAATATCTAAACACTGTATGAATTACTGCAGCTCTCAATTTCTCATGCAGTGTTCAGCGCCATTTGTGGAAAATGAATGGAAAAGACTTCACTAGACAAAGGGGTGCAACTTCACGGTCATCATACTTAACCTAAAATCCCTTCAAAAACGTAAAGATGTAACACTGATAACAGAATCAATATGAAGACTAACATTTATAAGCACCTGAATGGTACACAATAATGAAGGTGCACTATCACAAGTAAGTGGGTCAGCCTCATCATCTGGTTAGTGTGCAGAAATAACCACTTCCCTTGTGGAGAGGAGAAACTTACGTGTTTGCCGTGAGGTGATTGTGAGCTAAACGACTCTCCTTAATCAACATCCTGGAGAACAGAGAGAAATGAAGAGTTTTACTGGGTCAGTTTTATGCACAGAAGCCTCTAAAAAGGAGCACAAACACACCTGGCCTGCATCCATCCTTTGGGCCAGAGAGGCTTGACCTCGGTCTCCATGAAGACCTTCAGGTAATCTTCAGGAGAGAGTGAACTCTGAGCCTCAAGCTCGTAACAGCTCAGCTTCACCCGCACGAGATTACACAGCAGAGTCCTGCGCAAACACACACAGAGGGAGAGGGGTAGAGAGAGAGAGAGAGATTAAGGTCTTGTGGAAATCAGTGTCTTATGTGCATTACATTGTTTCCCACAAATAGGCAAGGGACGATAGCTGGTTCCAAGGTTTTCCATGCTATACAATCAGGGGCAGACTGGGCATCTGGCAGACTGGGCAGTTTACCGCTGGGCTGACGTACTTTTTGGGCCGGGCTGATCATCATCTTAGATCTGATCGGCCTATAAACGGCTTAGCAGCCTATAGTGTTTTTTTTGCCTTATTAATTGACGATGCTGTGATCACTGATCTGTGACTCTCTGAAAGTAAGATGCTTTTTTTTCTGACAGGCGGGGCGGCCCATGTGACACTCTGCAGCCCATTGATTCTTTTCTTTGTTGACATTGGGCTGGCCCAATCACGAACTCCTAGTGGCTGTTTCTCAATATGCGTTCTTCAGCGGTCTTGCGTCCTCGTGTTCTCGTGAAACGTCATCATCAGCTGCTTAAGTTCAGTTCCAATACTCAAGACTGCAAGTACGGAGGACGCGTGAAACTTCCCGGATGTGTTCTTGATATCGAGGACGCACTGATGCAGACTTGAGCACCGAACTCGCTCTGGAAGTCCCAGAAGTCATTGCGACTGGAGGTGGGAAGCGCTGCATTTTATTTAGATTTATAATTAAAGTTCATAGATATAAACTATTTACCTCAGGAGTTTCTCTAAATGAAACGGTGAAAGTAAACATTAACATGAATATCTTAATAAAGGAATAAACACATTAAGGGTGTTTGTTTGCTGAAATTCGTATTAAAATCTGTTTTATTTATATTGTGCAGAGTATATTTATAATGTTTTTATGCAAAGTATATATTTTGAAAAGGGGAAAAAGCAATAAATCGTTGTATGAAGGCTGTAATGTTTAAATAATTTACCATTTAAAACACGTGAAGGTCATGTGACCATCAGGAAGAACGCAGCATCCCATTTCTCAAAGGACGCGTTCTCTGCCCTCGCGGTCTCCTGAGTTCGTTCTTCCGAGGACACCTGGCAAGACCGCACTCTACAAGAACGCAAGTCCGTTCTCTGCGTTCTTGGAATTGAAAAACAGCCAGTATTTTGGGGCTCTGTGTGAGCGTGCAACGTTGGTGTGCATTTGTCAAAACAGTGGAAAGTCAGAGAGAAGAAATGGAGGGGAGGCGCAGAGAAATCGCGGGAAACACACTGCCGTTTCATTAAGCGGTTGTGAAAAGTTCTCTGTTCATTCTAGTACACGGCTAAAAACGCAAATCACGTGACCACACACATACTGCACACACTCTGCCGAGAGCTGCAGCCAGTAGTTCAGCTGGTGCCTCGAGTATAAACCCGAAGTGAGAGAATAGTGCATGTCGGACAGTTCAAAGATCTACTGCTGGATCTCATCTCACTATAGTTGTTAAACTTGATACTGAATTCATCTTCTTGTCTCTATCTAACAACTCTTCGGTCTTTTTTAATCACTTGTTCTCAGGTAACTCTGTTTTGGCTGAGTGCAAAAAAAGCTAATATATTAATTTATGTAACCACTTACACTGATTCTGCACATTGATTGATTGCTTGTCTTAATCGTATACATTTATTGTGAGTTATACTGTTATAATGGCCATTATTGATTATTAAAACCGATATTCTGCAAAAGACACGGGGTAAAGTTTGTTCTTTTCAATGAAAATGAAAGGAGACAGTTATGTTTAAGCCATGTTTTGTTATAAATATGCAGAGTGGAGATGACGCTCATATAAATATGCAGCTACACGAGGCTGTTTGCTGTCTGTTAATCATAATATCAAAATGAAACAAATTTACTTATGGTTTTTTTTTAAACAGCAAGCAGGATGAGGTGAATGAGGTTATAATGTACACTGTTCTCTTCGAAGATTTACTCATGCATTAGCAGGCAGTTTTTGTTATGTTTATTATTTAATATAGACTGAGTGAATAGTGTATTGAATCAGCTAAATTGGCTGTAGTGTATGAGTGTGTGTGTGTGTGTGTGTGTGTGTGTGTGTGTGTGTGTGTGTGTGTGTGTGCGTGTGTGTATGAGTTTGCATGGGTGATTTCCGATACTGGGTTGTGGCTGGAAGGGCATCTGCTGCATAAAACATGCTGGAATAGTTGGCAGTTCATTCCGCTGTGGCAACCCCTAATAAATAAGGGACTAAGGCGAAGGAAAATAAATGAATGAATAGTGTATTTTTTAGAACTCAACAAACTCCCTGCAGTTTGCTTATAGGGCCAACAGGAGCACTGTGGATGCCTCTCTTACTCTTTTGAACAAAGTTCAACATCATCTAGATAGGCCAAATATGTATGTTAGAATAATTTTTATGGATTTATCAGCTGCTTTTAATACTGTTCAACCTAATCTTCTTTTAGAACGTCTTTATAATTTAGGAGTAAGTTACTGGTTGATTATATGGATCAGAGAGTTTTTAAAAAAACGACCACAACGTGTCTGTGTTAATCATGCTATGTCTGACTGCTCGGTTTTAAATATAGGGGTACCTCAGGGATGTGTACTATCACCTCTTTTATTTTCTATATATATTAATGAACTGCAGTACAATATTGATGACAATCTCACACTCATAAAATATGCTGATGATCTGGCATTGGTTTCATGTCAGGAAGAAATGAACAGCTCTTTATATTTTAGATATATTGATAGTATTATAGATTGGTTTGGCAAAAGTTCATTACACCTAAATATTGGGAAAACAAAAGAGTTATGTCTGGGGAGTCAAACAAGAAGAGTAGATACTGGACTCTTTAAACCAGTCACCATAAACGGACAAATAGTAGAGCAGGTTTCAAATTTCAAGTATTTAGACACAATTATTGACAATAAATTGAATTTTAATAGTAATGTAGAGGCGGTTTATAAGAAAGCAAGTCAGCGCCTCTATCTCCTCCGCAAATTGAGAAGTTTTAATGTTAGTACACAGACTTTAAACTTGGCATATAGATCACTTATAGAGAGTGTTCTTACATATAATATTGTTTCATGGTTTGGTAACACAACACTTAAACAGAAAAAGAAATTAGCGCAAATTATCAATCAGGCAAATAAGATAACTGGTCACAAACAGCATTCATTGCAGATTTTATTTGACTCTTTTATGGAAAAAAGAGCAGTTGTGATTTTTAAAGATAATACACACCCCCTTCACTCAGCATTTGAATTGCTACCATCAGGACGCAGGTTTAGAATTCCTAAAGCACGAAGAAATGCCTATAAAAAGTCATTTATCCCAATGGCAGTTGTTGTTCTAAACCGGATCAATGTTTGTAGTGAATGAGGTGGTTACCAAGTATGATTTGCAGTATTGTGTATGGGGCTAATTTGGTTTTTAAACTTTTAACTTATGTTGTTGTGTTGATAAGTGTTATTGTGTCGTTGTTGTATGTTTGTAATTGTTGTCCTAAATCCAGTGTTGAAGAAAAATTTCCTTTCTGTGTCAAGCAGAACGGACAATAAAAGTTTAAAGTTTAAACTAAATCTTTATGGACAGTTTACAGAAATTAAATTGAGATTAATGTTTGTATTTATCTATTTATTTAATATATATATATATATATATATATATATATATATATATATATATATATATATATATATATATATATATATATATATGGCTTTTGTGTTTTTATAAAATAGGAGTTGATTAACATATTGGACATGCACAGATAGATAGCATTTTGATTGAATGTAGTGGGCCACTCTGGCCCAAAATGCCAGGGCTGATTTTTTGCCCCAGTCCAGGCCTGTATACAATAGCTGTTATTATGGATTATAGACCTTTTTTCTAGCTATCTAGCCCTTCCCCTTAGCCTTCAGCCTTCAAGCTAAAGAGAATCAGGACACCGCTACCCCTTTACATGAATGCACAAAACGAAGGGTAGGAGTAGGAGGAAGGGCTAAGGGGTGGAATTGAGATTGGGCCCAAGTGTTTACACTCTGCTTTTAATTAAATGAACATCTGCAAATGACGTAGTGCAAAACGAGTACAGAAAGTCAAACTTTTTAGTTCATATAATTCTTAATTTACACAGTAGAACCGTAGGAAATATTTCCCCTCCCTCACCTCACGTCTCTTGAGAGCACAGTAATATTTTAGGTGATGAAGCAAGAAATCAAGCGGCATGTCGGTTAACCGTGCATATATAGCACTTCATAACAGGGACGTTAAGGATTACTCTGTTTTAGGTAACCCTTTCAATAGATAGACCTCATCAAGACATATTAAGCGTAGACATTAATAGGATAAGTTATGGCTTGCGCTGTGAGATGCGTCCATGATTTTACACATTACAGTAATAATCAAGTGTGCACAGGTTTAGGTGAGTTGACCTTCACCTGAGTTTGTCGTCCCACACAAACTTCTTCCTGGGTCCCATCACTCGTTTTCCAGGCTTCTCATCGTCCTCCTCCTCTGAGCCATTCCTGTCGAAGTCTTCAGTCTGCTGCCTGCACAAACACAACACTGATGTCATGTCTACACTAATAGGCGTATTTTCTCTCTATTTCGGCCTCTGTCCACGCTAAAACGGCATTTCAAAGAAAATGAAAATGCATCTTTTTATAAAGGATGTCCAAAGTGGATTAATCTGAAAACGTTGTTTTTGTGCTGCAGTGTATAAACTGTGAAAATGGAGGTTTTCGAAAACAATGACACACTTTAGTCATCAGTGCAGTTGTTCAATCTAAATTGATTCATCTACAACCAAAGGGGCCACAAAGAGAAATATGTATTTAAGTCATTTTTTGATCTTATTTTACCAAACTAAACTGCATTACCTTTTAGATGACTGAAAACGTCTTGACAACACATGAGTAAATTATAGCGCTGTGAATAATAGTTGCAAAGTATACAGATTAAAACTGACAAACACTCAGATCGCTAAGTAGACTATTTTATTATCATCTTTTCTAATATACAGTTGAAGTCAGAATTAGTAGCCATCCTGAATTATTAGCCCCCTGTATATTTTTTCCCCAATTACAGAAGTTTTGTTTCAACAGTTTTGTTTCAGCACATTTCTAATCGTAATAGTTTTAATAACCCATTTCTAATAACCGATGTATTTTATCTTGAGCATGACGACAGTAAATAATATTTGACTAAATATTTTCGAGATACTAGAATTCAGCTTAAAGTGACATTTAAAGGGTTAACTAGGTTCATTAGGGAGGTTAGGGTAATTAGGCAAGCCATTGTACAACTGTGGTTTGTTCTGTAGAAAATCAAAACAAATATTGTTTAAAATGCTTAAAATTATCTAAAAATGTTAAAAATTGCTTTTATTCTTGCCAAAAAACAAACAAACAAGACTTTCTCCAGAAGAAAAAATATTATCAGACATCCTGTGAAAATTTTCTTGCTCTTTTAAATAGGGGTGTCAAAATTAATCGTTTCTTCGGTGCACCGCGATGCAGACGCGGACAATTCGGTATCGGTTCAGTAATAATCATAACCGGTTATTACTGACGTCATTTACCTCATTTGCGATCTGTCGCGAGGGAGGTGATCGCGAGTATTTACGACGCTCTAACTATTTAAAAGTCATAAACTGTGCACAATTTCACCGTGTGTGTTTGCTGGATCAGTCTTTCACTGACATATACAACAAAAGCCCCATATTTCACTGAGATCGAGAGAATGAAAGCACTCCATTTCTTTCTTTCTTTCTTTCTCTCTCTCTCTCTTGCACGCACGCACGCACGCACGCACGCACACACACACACACACACAGTGCCCCTTTGACCTGCAGGCGTGGCTTTTCTTCTCCTCTCGGCTGTTTTACAGCGTTATTTCTGGATAAAGAAACGAGCGCGCGTCTGCAGAGTTTTCTCCACCGTGTCTATCATACATCAGCTGTGAGATCGCTGCTGCCGCCTGCCACTTATCAGTGTCACTCATCTGTGAAGAGAGCAGCGCGCAAGAGCCAATCGCAACCGTTTTTGTTGAGGGTGTGACCAATCAAAGAGTGTAAGAGAACTAGACAAGGATCAGAAAGTGAGCTGGATATTTATATTTGTTTATATTATTTGCTTAATGCTCGAGTTGGTAAAAAGTACAGTTTATATATCTGACTGTTTGTATTAAAGGACAAAATTTTATTACAAATAATATATAAATATAAATATATTCATACATTTTAATACAAGAACTGCTGCTGTGAAGAAAATATAAAACCGAACCTTGAGACTAGTGTAGGTTCACAGCTCTTCTGTTAAACATCATTTGTGAACTATTTGAATAATTCTGACTTCAACTGTATAAGCTAAGCTTACACTGAAGGAGATTTGAGTTTCCTGCAAATCAGGATAAATACATATGATATGCAGTATTTTTGTAAAAAATTAAATGAATAGTACACGTTAAACAGCTTGAGGAAATAAATGTTCTGCATATTCACGTACATACTGTACATTTAGTGGAATTGAAAGAAAACTGGTCAAATCCTAATAAAAAAAATTCATATGTAATGATCATATTTAAATATGTCAAATGAATGTGATTCAACGTCGGTGCTTTTTGTATAAGGGATTCATAATGATATACAAAAAAAAATTAATAATCTTAAACATATATATGTTTTCACTTTATATTTTAATTTTTTAATCTTTTTTTTTAGTCATGAAACAAATGTTGTGCTAGTCTTGGGTTTCCTATTGTGACGTTTATCTAATAGAAATAGCTTATTGAGTAAAAAAAGAATTATTAGACCGCTTGTTTATCCTCCCTCCTCCCAGATTTCTGTTTAACGGAGAGAAGATTTGTTTAACACATTCCTAATCATAATAGTTTTAATAACTCATTTCTAATAACTGATTTATTTTATCTTTGTCATGATGACAGTAAATAATATTTGACTAGATATTTTTCAAGACACTTTTACACAGCTTAAAGTGTAATTTAAAGGCTGAACTAGGTTAATTAGGTTAACTAGGCAGGTTAGGGTAATTAGGCAAGTCATTGTGTAACAATGGTTTGTTCTGTAGACCAGAGGTTCTCAAAGTGGGGGTCGGGACCCCCCGAGGGGTCGCGGGACAATGAAGGGGGGGGTCGCCTGGTGATTTTCAAAAATCAATAAATTTTTATTAAACCTTAAGGCTTACTGTATTTTATCAATAACCTACTGAAGAGAAAAAAATAGTCGTTTATAGTTACTATAAACTATATAGTTACTATAGTAGCTTATAGTTACTAGTTCTATTGGATTGCGACTTCTCGGGTAATTACATTATACTAAAGACACAGCAATACTGTCAGATGCAGCAGATTTTGTAACACCAGGTTAAACTTTCTAGCCCATTTACAGCACTGACATACATAAAAAAAAAAAACTAAGAATAGACTTGGGTCTATTGGTGTGTTTGTGCGCGTCATTGCATACAAGGTTTCTGTATTTATAACCACCACCTCAGAGAATATTGGGGGTCACGAGTCACTGGCATTGTCATTTTGGGGGTCGCGGGCTGAAAAGTTTGGGAACCCCTGCTGTAGACGATAAAAAAATACCACAACAGGGCTGATAATTTTGACCTTAAAATTAAAAACTGCTTTTATTCTAGCCGAAATAAAACAAATAAGACTTTCTCTAGAAGAAAAAATATTATCAGACATACTGTGAAAATTTCCTTGCTCTGTTAAACATCATTTGGGAAATATTTCAAAAAGAACCACAATTTCAGAGGAGGTTTAATAATTCTGATTTCAACTGTATATTGGGCAGCATATTCCTGTTTATGTGAAACTAATTAGATGGTTTGCTATTGGTGGAACTCATGTGATTGACAGCTTGAACACATCAGTGTAGACCAATCAGAAACGAGGGAGAGCTGTATTCATATGATGAAGAGGCATGATGGTGCACCCATGGAGAAATGTGATGAATATTCCAATATTTTACTGCAAACATTCAGACTCTTACTTGGCGACTTTAGCCATGCAGTCCATGTTGTATCGCGCGATCTGCTCCGGCATCACACTGCACACGGCCAGCTTGAGTTTGAGCAGCGGCGTCCGCAGCCGGTCGTCCTGGATGTTCAGACTCAGCTTCTTCAGACGCTTCAGCAGAGCCTCTTTATTACAGGGCACAAATGCCTCTAGATGAGTGTAAACAGCAGCGCGGATTGGCACGGGCTGCTCCTGCACCTGCAGCTCAATACTACACACACACAGAGAGGGAAATCAGCTGGAAAACACACCAGAAAAAATACAGAAAATAACACAACAGCAGTATGAACTCACTCAAGCAGGATGTTGTTCATGTCCAGCGTGAAAAACTTCTTCCTGCCCTCCATATCAAACAGACGAGACGCCTGAGAGAACAACAAACATTTTATTAATAACTAAAAATCACCCTTAAGTTCACTTTTAAGCCAATTTTAAAGGGGAGCATGAACTACCTCAGTTATATTCAGTACTTTTCTATGAGGTACATTTATAATTTCAAGATTTTTACTTTAAATAAATCATTACTTGGAGATAATTGACCATTTTCGGTGCTGTTTTTGACACTAATTTGAATGATCTGTTTGAATGGGCGTGACCAACTTGAAAGTAAACGCCCACTGCTCTGATTGGCTGTCAGTTTTGCATATTAACAGACATATTTAGAAGTTAAACAGGCTGTAAAGTAGAAGTGGGTGTCGATTTTCAGTGGGGGCGGAGCTTATCCACCTTATTACATCATAGATCAGAGCATTCCTTAAGCTGTGGTTTTATCAGACTGACTTCAATGCGAGCTGATTTTAAAGCAACCACAAATAATTGAGTTCTCAAACTTGCAGGATGCTTTTATAGTACCATAAGCTTTCATATGCAAATAAGAATCAACAGAATTTTAATTTCTCAGCTCATGACCTCTTTCAATCAGAATCCACTGATGACACAGTAATCATGTAGAATGTTAAAACACTGCATATTCTCAGACATCAGTGATAAACTCTCATCTTCTGATTGATGGACACTCTCCAGCTTTCTGTCTGACCTCTTCCTGTTCTCAGATCTCACTGTATTCTGTCTACTTTCTATCTCACTGATCTTCCTCCTACACCTCGCTCTACCTCGTCTCCTCTGTCTTCACCGGAATCTGCCTGTAAAGAAAAGATGACACGCACACACTCAAATATGTGGCTCTGACGGACATAATGCATTTTATACTGTAAAAACAGCTGACTATATGGCCTTAACTGTACCACTACCCCTAAAAGCAACATTCACAGAAATCCTACGGCAAATTTTAAATGTGAAAAAGACATCTTTAAGTCTGATTTTTAAGCACTCTGAATTACAAGAACACAAGGTATGCCCTCCTGAACCACATTAACAGTATAACAACTAGGTCATACCTAGGGCCAGACGGAATCTGCAGACGTTTTTTGCTATTTCTGCTGAGAATTTTGGTAAAAATCTGCGGATTTCTGCAGAATTCTTTTAGGAGTATCCAGCGGAGTATCAAAACTAAAACCATAATATATGAAACAAAAAGTAATAAATTACTGAATAAAAACTGATTAAATTCAGATTTACAAATTTACTCAAGTAAATAAACAGAATTAATAATCTGCAGAAAATCTGCGCGCACAGATTCTGTGTGGGCCTAGTCATACCCATGTCATTATAGATTTTTCCTTGTAAACCAGAACATGCACACACAGCTGAAAATCCAATAAAAAAAGCTAAGGAAAAAAAAAAAACAGCGAAAGCCTTGCACATAGCCGTATATTTATACTGCTGCATGCTCTTTCTGTTGCTCTGCAATAACACTTCCGGAACGCTGGCTAGCAGTAGGTGTTTATGTTTCTCTGTGTCGAGTTTTTTTGCTGATGTTTTGTTTTTCTGATCGCTTCCTTACTGTTCAAGTGTCTCAAATTCGCTCATTTTGAGGAGGGAACTGGCGGACGTGCAACAACATTAATCAAAAGGTAAACACAAAACAACAGTCTCCATCCGGAACTCTTTTATGGGACTCCACACTTGTAACCTCTCGCTGCATCAACAAATGTTTTTAAATTGATGGTTTAAAAAAGCTAATAAACATGACACAGTTTTTTCATGCACCTGTCATTTCTGAGATCTTAGGCTTTTTAGCCTTTCATTCAAGCGTCTTTTTTTTTGTTTGAGTAATCTAAATAAAAGATCCAATATACACTTAAGTGTTTCTTTTGTAAATGCTAATCTGTTCCATTTGTGTCCAAAGATTTCAGTTGCAGCATATTTTAAAATACAATTTCCCCTCAAAATGACTAACTAGTTAACCAAGTAAATAACTAACTAAATAACTAAACAACTAACTAACAAACCAAGTAACTAACCAACCAACTAACCAACTAAATACCTAAACCATTAACTAAATAACTAACCAACCAAGTAACTAACTAACCAACTAACTAACTAAACAACTAACTAACTAACTAACTAACTAACTAACTAACTAACTAACTAACTAACTAACTAACTAACTAACTAACTAACTAACTTAACAATCAAGTAACTAACCAACTAAATAACTAAACCATTAACTAAATAACTAACCAACCAAGTAACTAACTAACCCACCTAGTAACTAACTGAACAACTAACTAACTAAATAACTAATTAACTAACCAACCAAGTAACTAACCAACCAACTAACTAAATAACTAACTAACTAACTAACCAACTAACTAAACAACTAACTAAATAGATAACTAAGTAATCAACCAACCAAATAACTAACTAACCAACTAACTAACTAAATAACTAAACAACTAACTAACTAACTTACCAACCAAGTAACTAACCAACTAACTAAATAACTAACAAACCAAGTAACTAACTAACCAACTAACTAAATAACTAACTATTCAACTAACCAACAACTAAATAAATAAATAACTAAGTAACTAACCAAGTAATTAACTAACCAGCTAACTAACTAAATAACAAAACAACTAACTAAATAACTAAGTAACTAACCAACCAACTAAACAACTAACTAACTAAATAAATAAATAACTAACTAACAAACCAAGTAACTAACTAACCAACTAACTAATTAACTAAACAACTAACTAAATAACTAGCCAACCAAGTAACTAACCGCCAACCAACTAACTAAACAACTAACTAAGTAACTAACTAACCAATCAAGTAACCAACAAACCAACCAAGCAACTAACCAACTAACTAACTGACCTACCCGCATTAGTCCCAGTCATGTATTCTCTCACACTGCATCGTAAGATAGCTTAGCATCCATCGAATGCACACTTCAGAATCTCGCTGGAAGTAGTAAATCATCCGGGTAATTCTCGACTACTGTTCTTTTAATACTTTAACCTCAGACATACTATTCTGCATACTGTTTTTCATGTGCTATATCATATGGAGGTATGCCAGTTCAAATGCAGCTGCTGTTACACCTTAGGTGTCCATTATTTTCTAATAATTCAGTTTAACAGAGTCAACTATTCTGCTAATACTACAGTGATCACAACTGCGGATGCTGTATTTCAGACACCTGTCAGGTGTGCAGCACTAGTCTCTTACACATCTCATCCTCATCTCAGTGATTGTTTAATGGCTGTTGACCAAGCTGTGAAATAAATGAAACCATTCAGTGTAGTGATATGGAGTTGCAATGAGTTTAAAACCTGCCAGAACTATTTTAGTTGTGCGTTTATCTGAAAATAACTGCACCTTAGAGCATGGGTCCCCAAACTCAGTCCTGGAGGGCCAGTGTCCTGCAGAGTTTAGCTCAAGCATCCTTCAATACACCTGGCTGGATGCTTGATTAGCTGGTCCAGGTGTATCTGACTGAGGTTGGAACTAAACTCTGCAGGACACCCGCCGCCCTCCAGAACAGAGTGTGCACACGCCTGCATTAGAATGTTCATCAGCCAATCAGAATCAAGCATTCAAGAGACTTTCTGCATGAGCAATAAACCTGCCCAAACTGCACAGGAGCTGCTACAGCTCTGCTTATAGATAAATATAAACCTGCACTCACCGCCCGCAGGTCCTCGATGCGTTTGAGCAGTGGTGCAGGCAGGCTGTTGGGCAGAGGCGGTGGTGGCATCGGCATCATCCCACTCTTCTGCACTCGCCCTGTAGCTCCTGCTTTGCCGTTCTCGCTCTGCCCAGGGCTAGACGGCTGCGGAGAGTCCAGCAGCCCGAAGTCCAGGTCGCCCATCAGCTCTTGCAGCATGTCGTTCTCTGTAGCTCCACCCAACAGTGACATCATGGCCGGGTCAGCGGTGATGTCAGCCATGGACAGGTCATCAGAGGGGGCGGCAGCGGAGGTGACGGCTGGGTTTGGAGGAGCGCGGACCAGCTTGACTGCGGATACTGGGGATTTCTTGCGGATCTCCTCTTTCTCGCGGGTGAAGCGCCGCAGCATGGCTGCCAGAGACAGAGAGTCCTTCATCAGCTTCTTCCTCTTCTTCTTCTCCGGTCGATTCAGTGATGACACACTGAGAAAGACAGAGACAAACAAAATAGAAGTGTTAAATAAGGCTATTGTTTAAAGGTGCAGTAGTTAAGTTTGACACCCAGTGGTTAAACTAGGCATTGCACGCCTGGTTAAAAACACACGCAAGTGCAGGTTGCCAGATTGACGATACCAACAAGAGCGAGCCTGACTGTCGAGCCTAAAGGCTGATTTAAACCGTGTTCTAACTCAAAGCAATGGCTCGCAATACATCTCATGTGCTTTATTCAGTGTTGAATGCTAATAATGTGTTTGAACGTCATTTTACATTTATTGCCATACCACTGAAAGTAGCAGCAGATAGTTCACCTCAGATCTGGAGAATAAAATAAACAGTTTCAAAGTGAACTTTAGAACTGTGACTCAGTGCAAGCAGACACAAATCAGCGATTCAGCATCTACATTTAATAATGTTAAAGAGGTTTAATGTGTATTGATTAGATTATAAACCTCATCATTTCGCTGGAGTGCAGTGAGTGCACTATTCTGTGCTTCTGAATGGCTGTGTTTAAATTTGTGTTGCGTTTCGTCTGATGCAATCAGCCAAACTGCTCATCACTGCAAATCTCATCATGTAGTGTGTTGTTAGGACACAGGGTTACAATGTAACCTGCTCACCTAACGTTTAAGTTAGTATCATTTATAATATTTGCTAATTAATAACCCCCTCATGTGGAACTCTGAATCTCATTTTGGAGGCTGCTGCTGTCCACTGGAGGTCGCAATTGAGTTAAGGACGCTCACTTTGAGAGCCTTTCCGACTGAATGAATGAAATATGCGGTTTTCCACCAAGGCAACCCGCATTGCTGAAATATAATTGGCTAAACTGGCAAAATAAAAAGACCAAAACAAAGACAGCCGTTGCGGTACGTAACTCACATTTTCAAAGCAGAATATCAGCATTGTTTTTCAGATAAAAAAGAATGTTCACTCAGCATGTTTCTGAAATATCTGCAAACATATTATGGTATTTTTACGCTTTAAACAGAGTCAAAAACTAACATACAGCACCTTTAAAGGGCCATGAAACCCCCTCGTTTCAGCAGGGTGTTTTCACACCTCTACTTTGGAAAAAGTCAGAAAAGTGGGCGTGTCCAGCTCTGTTTAGGGGGGAGTGTCAGAGGAGCAAAAGAGGGATGATGTGGCAGTGTCGATTTGGCCGTGCGCTGAGTTTCAAAGTCAAAACAAACACACACAGGGGAGAAAGTGACTGTGTTTACATGGACATCTGTAGTCGAATTATTTGCCAAATTATTAAATGTTGGACTTTAACTGCAGTTTGGCTCTTTCATTCAAGGCAAGGCAAGGCAAGGCAAGGCAAGTTTATTTATATAGCACATTTCATACACAGTGGCAATTCAAAGTGCTTTACATAAACAAGAATAAAAAAGACAAGTTTAGGAAAATAAAATGCAGACAATAAAAAATATTAAAAACAGATAAAAACAAATTAAAATGAGTTAAAATAGGTTATAAAAGAATGAAAAAGAAAACGAAAAACATAATAGTGCGATCTGTCGGACGCAGCACAGTGCTCATTCAGTAAAGGCACAGCTAAACAGATGTGTTTTCAGTCTTGATTTGAATGTGCCTAATGTTGGAGCACATCTGATCATTTCTGGAAGCTGATTCCAGCAGTGAGGGGCATAGTGGCTGAAGGCAGATTCACCCTGCTTAGACTGAACTCTTGGAACTTCTAGTTTATATGATCCTAAAGATCTGAGTGATCTGTTAGGTTTGTATTCAGTGAGCATATCTGTAATGTATTGAGGTCCTTGGCCATTTAGTGATTTATAGACCAGTAATAATACTTTAAAATCTATTCTGAATGTAACTGGCAGCCAGTGTAGAGACCTGAGGACAGGTGTGATGTGCTCTGATTTTCTGCTTCTGGTCAGAATTCTGGCTGCAGCATTCTGGATGAGCTGCAACTGTCTGACTGTCTTTTTGGGAAGACCAGTGAGGAGTCCATTACAGTAATCCACCCTGCTGCTGATAAAAGCATGAACAAGTTTCTCTAAGTCTTCACTAGAAACAAAGCATCTGATTCTTGCTATGTTTTTGAGATGATAGTATGCTGATTTACTGACTGCTTTGACATGACTGTTGAAACTCAGATCTGACTCCAGCGTCACACCAAGATTCTTGACCTTATTTTTTGTCGTTTGACCTTTAGAGCCAAGGTACGCATTCACCTTGAGAACCTCATCTCTGTTCCCAAACGCAATGACTTCAGTTTTCTCTTTGTTTAACTGAAGAAAGTTTTGGCACATCCAATTTTTAATTTCATCAATACATTGGCAGAGGGTGTCAATGGGGCTGTAGTCATTAGGCACTAAGGCTAGGTAGATCTGAGTGTCATCAGCATAGCTGTGGTAGGAGATTTGATTCTTTCTCATTATTTGGCTCAGAGGGAGCATGTAAAGGTTGAACAGGAGAGGTGCCAGAATCGAGCCTTGTGGGACTCCACATGTCATGGGTGTCCACCTCGACCTATGATCACCTATACTGACATAGTAACCTCTCCCTTCAAGGTAAGATCTGAACCATTTGAGGACTGTCCCAGACAGCCCAACCCAGTTTTCCAGCCTATCCAGAAGTATGCTGTGATCGACAGTGTCAAATGCAGCACTGAGATCCAACAATACCAGCACTGTTATTTTACCTGAATCTGTGTTTAGACGTATATCATTGATTATCTTTATAAGAGCGCTCTCTGTACTGTGATGTGCTCTGAAACCAGATTGAAAATTGTCTAAACACCCCCTGAAGTTTAAGAACTTGTTAACCTGGTTAAAAACAACTTTTTCAATGATTTTGCCAATGAAAGGGAGATTTGAGATTGGCCTGTAATTGTTCAATAGGGTGTTATCCAGATTGCTCTTCTTCAAGAGGGGTTTAACAACTGCAGTTTTAAGTGAGTTTGGAAAAATCCCTGATAGAAGTGAAGCATTTACCACTTTTAGGAGATCCATTTCTAAACAGGTAAACACCGTTTTGAAGAATGATGTGGGGAGCGTGTCAAGACTGCAGGTTGATGTTTTTATAATTTGCACCATCTCTTCTAAGATTTTACCGTTAATTGCCATGAAATCAGACATAATGTCTGACTTCTCAAGTTGTGGTTGAGTTTGTTTGATATCGACACAACTTGGCTGATTGGATGAGCTGATTGCCTTTCTGATATTATTGATTTTATCAGTAAAGAAATTAGCAAATTCATTACATTTGCTTACAGAGAGTAGCTCACTGGGAATCCGACTGGGGGGGTTTGTGAGCCTCTCTACTGTTGCAAAGAGTGTGCGAGCATTATTTACATTGTTGTTTATAAGGTTTGAAAAGAAAGTCTGTCTAGCAGTTTTTAGTTCCACATTAAAAGCCTGAAGACTGTCTTTATAGATATTATAATGGACTACTAGTTTCGTCTTTCTCCACATACGCTCAGCTTTCCTGCATTGTCTTTTCTTCATTTGGACTGCTCTTGAGTTTCTCCAAGGGACTCTCTCTTTGCCAGTTTTCTTCCTAACTTTAACAGGAGCGATGTCATTTATTACATTTTCAATTTTAGAATTAAACAAATCAAGGAGAGAATCAACAGAGTCTGCAGATATACTTGGTGCCAGCGATATGGCCTTCATAAACTGCTCACTAGTGTTCTCATTTATGCATCTCTTTCTGACAGAGACAGATCTGTCTTTAATAGCTGGAGTGATCAATATATCAAAGAGAATACAGAAATGATCAGATAGTGCCACATCCTTAACAACAGTCGATGAAATGTGTAAACCTTTAGTTATAAGTAGATCAAGAGTGTGTCCACGATTGTGTGTGGGTCCTTGAACATGCTGAGTCAGATCAAAAGTGTTAAAAACAGTCATCAGTTCTTTTACAGCATTGATTTCTGGATTATCAATGTGAATATTAAAATCCCCAGCAATACTAAAATAATCATATTCAGATGTTACTATTGATAAAAGCTCTGTAAAATCATCAATAAAAGCTGGAGAATATTTTGGAGGTCTGTAGATAATGATTAGTAAGATGCGTGGAGACCCTTTTAGTGCTATACTCAGATATTCAAAAGACAGATAGTCACCAAATGACACTTGTTTACATTCATACACATCTTTAAACAGGGCAGCGATACCTCCACCTCTCCTATTAACTCTGCAAACACTCAAAAAGTCAAAGTTTAAAGGAGCTGCTTCATTCAGAACTGCTGCGCTACAACTGTCATCTAGCCAAGTTTCATTTAAAAGCATAAAATCAAGGCAATTTGTGTTGATAAAATCATTGACTAAAAGTGACTTATTGTTGAGTGATCTGATGTTTAGAAGTGCTAACTTAACAGTTTTAGTCGTTTTCACTACAGAAGTCTCAGATATACATTTAATAGACACCAGATTTGAATGATTTGCTATACGGTCTGAAAGAGTCTTTGGTTTTCTGTCACGTAATAAGACACATATCTGCGTAGAGAAAGCTACAGACACACTGGGTTCCTGCTTGTTCTGTAAACATCTGATAAAGACACTGTTACCTAAGCAGGCCCCCGAGACACATCAATGGCAGTTTTTAAGTTCACCAGCTAAAGATGAGGTGTTTTTTGGGACCTGGCGCTGTCGCAAAGACCTGAGGCCTTTCCTAGGTGTAGGGCGAGGTGGGCTTAGAGATGGGCGTGTGGCTTGCTGACTTTTGGTTGCTAACTGGGGGCTAGCAGCAATGGAGTGTGAGAGTTTAGTTCCAGCACACACCAGTTCCTCCATCTTTTTTGAAAAATCCAAGAGAGGCGAGCAAGATGACAATGAGAACGTGTCCGGTGACAGAGGCTGTGGGTCTGGGGTTTCTGGCTGCTGAGATATGTTTACCTGGCTGTTTTCCTGGGGATCATCAATGAGTGCTGAGACTTGATGCTGTTCTGATGCATCACAGTCTGCCTGTGTTGAGCTCAGTGTGCAGGGTGCAGACAGCAGTTTGTCCGTTATCGGCGGTTGTTGTGGCTGCGTGGTGTTATCTCTGTCCTTGTAGGATGCGTCAGCCACAAGTCCACTCAGGAGCTGATTTGAATTCCTGTGATCATCCGGACATTTGCTAGGTGTGTGTGTGTCATTCAGTTCAGTGGCATACACAGCTGATGGATGATGGAGGGAGAAGAGGATGTTGTCTTTCAGCACTTTTGCACCTAGCTTGTTTGGATGAAGGCCGTCTGATATAAACAGCTGTCTTTGGTTCCAGAAGAGATTGAAGTTGTCAATGAAATTCAGTCTTTTCATGTTACATGTTTTCTGCAGCCATGCATTTAGACCAAGGAGCCTTGAAAACATATTTGTCCCTCTTGCAGGGAGTGGTCCACTGATGAACGGCTGAATTTTCAATCTTTCAACTGTTTCCAAGAGCTCACAGAAATCTCTCTTGAGCAGTTCTGACTGCTCCTTCCGAATATCATTCTTCCCCACATGGATGATAATCCGTTTTGCAGTCTCATGTTTCCTTAATATGTTCTCAAGTTCTTTATTTATATCAGAAACTGTAGCATGAGGAAAGCAGTATGTCATGGTATCTCTGCTCCTAAAATTTTTGATTATTGAATCTCCAACAATCAATGTTCTTATCTCTGTTGCGATCGGAGCAGAATGCCGCTGTCTAGTCGGCCTTGAGCCTCTGTTCAGAGCAAAGTTAATTGCTGAGTCATGCGATCTCTGTCTGACTGCATTTGGGGAATCTTCACCCATATTACTCAAAACTTCATATCTGTTCTGAAGCTGTATTTGAGTCCGAGCTGTATTTGGGGTAGAGAACGCTAATGCAGCAGCGTATGACCTTCGTGATCTGACCCCACGAGTACCCTTTGGTCTCGCACCTTGTTTATGCCATAGTTCACGCTGATTTTCAACAGTTTCAATCTGTTTTTCTGTTCTCAAAACAGTAGCTGGAGTAGATTTATAGGGCTTACCGGCTGAATGCTGTGAGGCTCCACGATGAACCGGTCCTGTGTAATTCGGCAGTTCTGGTTGGATCGCAAGTAACTTTGTTTCAAGAACTGCAATCTTTTGTAAAAGTTTGTGGCAGTTGGTGCAGCAGTGAGATTCCAAATCAATATGATCCAGAGCCATTTTCACAGCCGTGTTTTCCCGTCTCAGGAATGAAAGCAGCTGGTAGCGGGAGGATTGTTTAGACGATAATTCCTCTAAATAAAAGTAAAGTTGTACTCCAGAAAGTTTGTAGATTCGATGTTGATCTTCAAGCTGTTTCGTTTGAGCACTGTGCTGATAGGCTCAAGTTAAAAATAGATAATAAAATAAAAAAGCAGGAGTGCAAGGAGCGGAGCAGTAGGCAAAGACGTCCGAACAGTAGCGAACAGTAGCAAAGCACTGTTCATTCATGCAGGGAATTCATTCATGCCTCTCGCGACAAACGAGATATTTGATTCGAGGCGCTGCTCTAAGCGTGTATTTTTCATGCAATGTTTGATACCGCACGACGAATGAGAGGAAAAAAAACTCTGCATTTCCCGTAAACTTAGATGCACACGGCAGGTAGTGTCAGAAAGCCGCGTGTGTTATTCCGGTCACAAAATCCAACACGAGGTTCTAGTTTGGTTGTAACTGTTAGTGCTAACTTGTTTACACTCGGTGCAATAGTTTGTTTGATACGAATAAAATACGAACTGAATAATTAAAGAGCACTGGTCGCTCACTTACCAAATCTGTAGAGACAGGACAATCACCAGCAACTAGAGCCACGTCTTTATTTAGAGGGGAGTACAAGCGAATCCGTATCTCAGCGTTTGCAGATGAGAACAGCTCTCAGGTAAACAATGTTCCTCCTTAGACACGTAAGTTATTGTTGTCGAGTGTCGCGTACACTGTTAATTCACGCTTGAGTCTGCACTCTCACAGAGACAAAATGAAAACGAAACTTAACTGCAGCAAACTATAAAAGCAACACTTCACACTTGCTTTGCCAACACAACGTGGCGTCTTTGCCGTCTACACTGTGACAGTAATGAATATTAATGAAGTTGCACAATAGAGCGCGCTGATTGGTTTGAACCAAGCTTTACTCATGCATTAATGCATCACACTGTAAGACGTAATAAGACACACTCTGGCACAGACGTCCAGTCTGCACGCTGGAATACACGCTATTATGTCATGACCGTGACGCAGCTTCAAAAATTCGTTTCAAACCGGAAGTACGAATTTGCTTGAAATAACGCAAAAACAACCAATTTACACTTTTTAGTGAAATATAGGTGTCCTAATAGTGTTTTTAGCAGTGTGGGACACATATACGACTGTCAACAGCTCAAAAAATGTGTTCTGGTGTTTCGGGACCCTTTAAATAAGAAAAATAATCAAAGTGGCACAGTAAGGAGATTAAGACATTTCTACACAACCAGTTAGGGTTGCATGATGTGGGGAAAAATCTGACATTGCAATATTTTGCTTTTCTGCAATATACAGTTGTCAGAATTATTAGCCCCCTGTATATTTTATCCCCAATTTCTGTTTCACATTACTCATTTCATATTTGCCATGATGACAGTAAATAATATTTGATTTTTCAAGACACTTCTATATAGCTTAAAGTGACTTTAAAAGTGTAACTAGGTTAATTAGGGTAAAGTTAGGGTAATTAGGCAAGTCATTGTATAATGAAGTTTTTTTTCTGTAGACTATCAAAAAACAAACATTGCTTAAGGGGGCTAATAATATTGACCTTAAAATGCCTTAAGAAAAATTAAAAGCTGATTTTATTCTAGTTAAAATAAAACAAACAAGACTTTTTTCAGAAGAAAAAAATATTATCAGAGATACTGTGAAAATTTCCGTGCTCTGTTAAAAATTTGGGAAATATTTGAGAAAGGAAATTCATAGAAGGGCGAATAGTTCTGACTAGAGATCTGCGCGGGACTAAATTTTGAATCCCATTCCCGCCAGGTTTTAGCCCGAACCTGACCGCTCCCCCTTATATTCAGCATTTGTTGTCCAGCTGCCCGACCCGCCCGGTTTTCTACCCGCTGCGCCAGATCCCGCTAAAGAACAGGGGGGAGAACAAAATCGCAATCCACCCAGCTTTACAGAGTCCAGACAGCCTTTAACAAGTAGTCTTTATAAAAACACACACACACACACGCGTGCACACACACACACGCACACACACACATGCACACACACGTGCACACACGCGTGCACACACACACACGCACACACACACACATGCACACACGCACGCGCACACACATGCACACACACACACGCGCGCACACACACACGCACGCACACAAACATGCACATGCACAGCAACGAACAAACAAGCTAAACGCAGCATCATGCTGTTTCAGTCATACACATAACGTTACATACGCGTGCTCGCTCGCTCGGGAGTCGGGAGGGATATTGCTAGACGGCCCGCTGCCATCCCAAATTAAACCTGTTACCGACCACTCCCGCCCTTTATTCGGAAATTTATTCCCGCGCCGCAGAAATCTAGAGCCAAGGGACAGCAAACCTCTAGTTCTGACTTCAACTGTATATAGTGTTATGATTACAATTTCACCAGATGACTTGAACATATCTTTTTGAAAAAGAGTTCTAATGTTAGATGTTGTTGGAATGGTTCTGTAGGGGAGTGCATCTGCATAAACATACAAATAAAATAAATAGTGTTTTATTGCTTTCAGAGGAGTCCAACACCATTCAGGTGTATAGTAACTAAATAAACAACTGCAAAATAATACAGCATAGTCTTCATTTTATAAATTATTCAATAAAATTAATGGTTATTTTCAAGAGTTCACACTTAGCTGATGATTGTTTATAAAGCTAGTTTGGCATGCTGTCCGGGGAGAGAGCCCTGAGCTCATAAGATCTTCGAGCCCGGGACTCCCTCCCGTTTGCAGGCGAGAGGGGAGTTTGAGCTCAGGTAGATCTCGAGAATTCCTCTGTTGTAGAAGCTAATGAACAGATAGTGATTGCTCTTAAGAGATAACCATTTACTAGGAGTATGTCTATGGTGCCAATTTGGATTAGTCAATTAACTTAGGTTGCATGTTTTTTGACGGTGGGAGGAAACCGGGGAACCCGGGGAAAACCCACGTGAGCATGGGGAGAACCTGTAAACTTTGCACAGAAACGTCAGCTGGATGGTAAGGACTAGAACCAGTGACGTTCTTGCTGTGAGGCAACAGTGCTAACCATCTAGGAAAAGAGAAGTAGGGGTAGAAGGGGGGATTCTTTAAAACGAAGATGGCTGTCATATGGAACTTAGGGTACTTATAGTGACTTAGGAATCGCCTGATTGGTCAATCATAAATTGGATAACAAGGGGCTGGCAGCAAGCAACCATAAGCACCCAATCCTCTCGAAATTAGTTTATAAATAAACTTCACAAAGATGCAACGGGTACAATTTCTTGTAGTTGTCGTTCACATCTCAGATTTCCCACAGTGAAAGCATCTGAACTAACCCCGGTTTGGGAACTTTGAATTTCCTGGGTTTCTTCTCCTCCAGTCCTCCATCCTGCTTCTTTTTCCTTCGCTTTATCACCCGCTCCTCTCCCTCTTTCTGTCAATCCAAGCAGAAAACATCAAACGCTGTTAATCCCAACATCAGATAAAAATCCTCCAGCATATATCTAACAGAAACTGACCATAAACACAACTTTACATTCTGACATCTGGTAAAAGATTGCAATTATTGCATAAGCGAGTTTCATTTGCAAACCTTTGCAACTTTAAACATTTTGCAGAAATGTACAGTTAATGTTTATTTGGTATTTTTTATTATTATTATTATTTTTTTACAGCTTTTACCTCACAATTGTTTACTTCACAATTATATTATTTACACTTGTTGTTCTGTCGTCTTTCTCAAGTACCAATTTACCATAAATAAATCCACATGCATGTATGCAAGCATGATTCAGACATGTTTTGATTTATTATGCAAAAAAAAACTATTTATAAGGGGATAAACACAGTTTTTTATTGTGTGAATTAGAGCTGCACAATTAATCGTTAAAAGATCGCGATCTCGATTCGATCCCCTAGACGATCTTAATCCAGCATTTCTACGATTCTGTCAATCATATTTTCAAGTTCAGGAGAGAAGCAAAGGCAGCTGAATGAGTCTTTTCATTGTTTCACACACATTGCTCAGAGACATTGATACCTCCATATGATGTTGAATGAGTCGCATACTGTATTTACAAGGTATAATTCACCTAAAAATTTAATTTTTGTCTTAATATAATGATGTTTTCGCGATCGGGAAATCACACGTGACGTGAGCTGCTGACCGTGAGCTGTTATCACAGAGAGGGCGGGTGCGCGTTCTAATGATAGACGCACGCATCTCCTTTAGTGAACAGAACCTGCATATGTTGCGAGTAACAGGTAATACAGTTGCAAATAATATTCAGTTTGTGGCACAGAGTGATCGTTTGGGAGCCGCGCGCGAAGTATGAACAAGAACTTAGCAGCCAAAATTAAACCGAAAGTGTGCACTTCATTTAAATGATCATATCGCATTTTAGAGTTATGATTACGACAAGCATTTGATGTTTTTTCTTTCATAACGAACCCACAGTTGTGCATGAAAATAAATGTTTACAGTGTCAGTATAACTACTCTAGCCTATATATTGTTGAATATAATCTGATAATGGCAAATGTCTGATTTTACCAGTGAATAAAATTGTCTAATATGACAGATTGCAAGCACATATCTCAAACATAAAAATTCAACATCAGAATTATTATAAGTAGAATAGAATTATTTATAGAAACCAGTAGACCTACACATAATATTATTATCGAGGTTGTGCCACATGTTTGTTTTTACCATACATTTATTTTACATCTACAGAATAGTGAGAGAATCTTTATTTTAAGCAAAAAAAAAAAAAAAAAAAAAAATCGCGATTCTCGATTTAGCCAGAATCGTGCAGCTCTAGTGTGTATATAGCCAGCCTCTAATGGTAAAAACTAATGAATTATTATTTTTTTATAAAAACAGTCCGCAGAAACACTTTGACTGACATTTTCTCTTTCTACAAATCATCAGGGGGGGAAAGCCCTGCCCATTACGCCCCATTCACATGGGGCGTCAGCGTCAGCGCTTCCCATTCACTTTGAATGGGTGACGTCAGGCGTTGCCGAACTGCATTGTGGATCTGTCGGCACCAATTCAGAGGCGCTGCTCGCTGCAGAAGTTGGGACTAGCTCAACTTTAAGCGCCGACGGAAGCATCAGCCAATCAGCCCACTGTATGCAAATACATCACCTAGACAGTGGCCTATTGCTGACTGAATTTTATTGGTTGACGCTGCTATGACAATCGCGTCAGCTCCAACTTCAGACACGCCTTCAGTTAAGCGTTGACGCTGAAGCCCCAGCATTAGTGACCATCTCTTGTTTATTGGCATAAACAGCCGTCCGCTATTTGTTTTCACCAGCTGAAAATAACGTTCACGATTTCAGTTTTCAATAGAAATAACGTTAGCCCTGATTTTGAATCTGTCACTATGCTGACACACAGGCATTTGTAGCCCCACCCTTTTTTGAAAGGCGCACAATCTCATTTGAATTTAAAGCAACAGTCACCAAAATAGCACAATTAGGATCAAAGCCTAAAACGGTCAGTTTCAGAGTTATGAAAAATTATCGGTGTGCTATTTTGAGCTGAAACTTTACAAACGCACTCTAAGGACATGAGAGACTTATTTTACATCCTGTAAAAAACAACATAATAGGTCCCCCTTTAATTTGCAACCCCACAAGAAATTAGCACACATAAACGTAGGCAACATAACTCCAGCTCCCTGAATCATCAGCTACAGCAGCGATCATGAAGGTGAACGACGATGATGATGATGATGATAATCACCTTAATGTGATTGGACTCTTTTCCAGCATCTTCTCCCTCAGATTCAGATGCCACCCTGAACTGCAGTGTGCCAGTGTTGATGTAGAAACCGCCCAGTTTAGTGGTCAGAGATGCAGGAACCAGTTCATCATACTGTGAAGAGACACACACACAGACGACATCAGCTTTTACTAATGCAAAAATCTAATATATTCACATTCATACACTGATACCGTAGTCAACATTTAAAGTGGATCAAAAAGGTTTTCCAAATTAGTTCCAAGACAAGAATGGGTGTTTAATAGTTTTAGGACAACTTGGATGAAAGGTTTTGATACACTTCAAATATTGACTACCGAATATAAACATAGATAATACAATTCAGGACACTCTTGAAGAAGACATTACACATCTCAAGAGGTTTTCAATGTAAAATAAATGTTAAAATAAATAAATAAATGAGATATTTATACATTAGTTGAAGAGATGTTTTTGATCATACAACTTGAAATACGTAAATTATGCAAGATATTAAGTCATGAATGTGGAGGAACAGCAGTGATTCAATATATTCACAGATTTATCAGCAAAATACTTTGATTCATGCAACATTTTCTGACTTTTAAGAAAAGATGTAAATGTGGTCAAATGGCAAATCTATGACAGTGTCATTTTCCCCCTCATGTGGTATTCATGTGTTACTAAACAGTACTTCAAGACAGAATGATGCTCTCATTGAGAATCAATATAGACCTCTCTCCCTTACACTCACCGCTTCAGAGTTGTCAATAAACGGATCCGTTTCATCATATCCATAACCGATATCAATCAGATCCTGCATCCGGTCTTTCCTCTTCTTCTTAACAGCGCCTCCCTGAACATCAAAATGCAATTAAAAGCTTAATTAAAAAATAATTAAATCACATAACATACCATACCTAAACAATTGAATCTCATTTTGTTCTTGCACCTCTCTAATTAACCAATTTTAATTGAGACCAATTGTGTTATACATATAAATAGTATGTTATATATGAATTAATTATATATTAATCATAATACTGGTGACAGATTCTTCATATAGGTCTTGTGACATTGATTTATTTTAATTAAAACATTCCTTTTTTTTCTATTTAAAATAGAAAGCTTAAAGAAATACACAAAAAAGTTGTGAGTGGAGGCATTAAACAAGTTAATTAACTAGTTAGGCTTAAGATTAATTATTTCCACGGTAAAGAAAAACAAACATGTGCATATTAAACACACAAATGAGTGCGTTTGCATACACAAATAATAGAAAAACCATCCAAAAATCCAATTATTGCATGATTTATTTAATGTGTTCACATTAGGGATGGGAAGATTAACCGATATGTATCGATACGCGGTTATGCGCGTTCACGATGCGAGTGCATCGGTTGAGCAGCAGAGGATGAATGAAATTTTGGAAGCAAATCGAGATGCATCGGTTTTTGCGAGATGCATCGGTTTTTCCGAGATACAGCTTATATTTTTAATATAGAATGTATTTTTTATTTATTAACAAGTGTTGTCAACCTGTTTTTGGCGCATAATTTAATCGACCTACATAAAGTAAGCCTTAGCAACGGATTTGCGGATGTGCACACACTACAACTCAGTGTATCAGGTGTGCGGATGAAGCTAGTGGTGCGCCCTCAGAAAGCGCGAGAAGCAAAACAAACATTTTATTCCCCACTGAGTTTTAAATCTAAAGTATGGCAACATTATGGATTTAAGGATGGACGACATGACAGGACAGATGCAATTTGCAAAATGTGCCGCGCATCTGTAAAATACGCAGGCAGTACGACTAATTTGATATCTCACTTGAAGCGGCGCCACGGTGTTGTTGTGAAAGCATCTTCCAGTGTTTCTGCATCCCCGGCTTTCGCACTGCTTCAACCAGCTCCAAAAGTGGTGAGAAAAGCATTGCAAGTTTTTTTTCCATGCGCAACAGTTCTGCTCGCTCTACGCCAATAACGAATGCTATTGCATTGTTCATCTGCAAAGATATTCAGCCTAGTGTCACGGAGAACGAAGGTTTTAAACACCTCCTCCTGTTAATTTTTATTTAATTATAATAATAATAATATTAATAATAATAATGATAAAAATAATTGGGTGTCACAGTGGCACAGTGGGTAGTTTGACCACCTCACAGCAAGAAGATTGCTGGTTTGTTATATTTTTATTAGCCTGTTGTTTACAGTGACAGTGATGTTTCAAAGCAGCATAACACTGCTAGTTCACCACCTTAAGTTTTGAATAATCAGTGGCAAAATATATCTTTGTAAAACTTGTTTTCATAGTTGAAAAGTTAAATCACAATTCTTGTTGTGCAATGCTAAATTTATTTATGTTGAAAGAGTGCAAATATATATATATTTTTTAATATATAATATATATATAAATAAATAATATGTATATATATAAATAATATGTGCTATATGTTCTAAAATGGCCCTCTACTGTAAACTGACACTCTGGCTCTGAGAGAAAAGCCAGTTTGTAAAAAAAAGTCTTGGTTTTGCTTGGTTAATAAATAATCAAACTCATTCAATGGCACAGCATCCTCTTTCACATCATCTCATAAACTTGATCTAATTAGTTAGTGCTGAAATATCGCATCGTATCGTGATATGGGTGTGAATCGTATCGTGTTGCATCGCAATATGTCACAAATGTATCGCTAATATATCGGATCGTATTCTTTGTATCGAGATGCGTATCGGATCGGCATTATAGCTTAGATGCCCAACCCTAGTTCACATGCAACTCAGTAAACCGGCTATGCTAAAAATAAATACAAATTGGGTTTACATGAGTTTCTAACAAACATTGGCATCAGCAGCTTAAAAATGTCTGTGTGAAATCTGTGAGAAGCTGTGCTGGTGTATTTTTCACATCTTTACAGTACGTGCAAATGCAGCACTGCTCTTTGATTCTGTATCAACTGTGTGAGTTTAAACCAGCTTTAAACCAAGAAAGTGTCAGTGTAAGAAATATTACCACCGTCCCCTAGAGCTGTGCAATTAATCGAAAATCCAATTTCGATTATGCCTTCCAATGATTATGAAAAATCATTAATCGAGATAAACAATTATTGCATCATATACCATATCATTGCATCATTGCATCATATGTATATTTAATGGTCAAATAGGTGTCAAAACGCAGTGTTTAGGGATTATTCATGTCAACCATCATTTGTGTTATAAACAAACAAGTTGAAAATCAAAATAGACGCGAAAGAGAAACTATTAAAGAGACAGCGCACTATAAACCTTCTGCCGCCTGTTTTTATGATTATTAATCAAACAACAAATGGAGAACATGCCTCTGCTCTTGACTAAAGGACTTTTGTTGCTAAAGTGTTTCTTAAAGTGAAGATGCTTAAAGCAGAGTTTGTTTTATATTTTATTCTATTGTATTTATTTCTCTTTCCTTTGCAGGGTGGAAAATAACTCAGTTGAAGTCAGAGCTATTAGCCCTCCTGAATATTAGCAACCCTTTTCCACCCAATTTCTGTTTAATGGAAAGAAGATGTCTGAACATAATAGCTTTAATAACTCTTTTCTAATAACTGATCTATTTTATCTTTGTCATGATGAGAGCACATAATATTTGACTAGATATTTTTTCAAAATACATGCATTTAGATTCAAAGTGTGATTTAAAGGCTTAATTAGTGTAACTAGGCAGGTCATTGTATAACAGTAGTTTCTTCTGCAGACAATCAAAAAATATATAGCTTAAGGGGGCTAATATTATAGTCTTTAAAATGGGTTTCAAAGCATTCTAACCTGCTTTTATTCTAGCCAAAATAAAAACAAAAAAGCCTTTCTCCAGAAGAAAAAATATAAGAGGAAATACTGTTAAAATTCCTTGCTATGTTAAACATAATTTGGGAAATATTTATTTTTTAAAAAAAGACTCAGGAGTGCTAATAATTTTGACTGTAACAGTAATCGTTTTGAATAATCGGGATTTCAATTATGACCAAAATAATCGTGATTATGATTTTTCCCAAAATCGAGCAGCCCTACCGTCCCCTGTCTAGAAATGCCTGCTTAAGCAGGATGAATGTGCTAAAATGCCTGTAAGAGAGTTTACATGCAAAGCGAAGCTGGAATATTGAGAAAAAAACTACCCGTTCAGATTGCATGTTAGGTTGTTTTTGACCTTTAGCCAATAAAACAAATCTCATTACACAAACCAGCTTATTAAAGGGGCTGCATGTACGTTTTGTAAAACTTCTAATGTATAAAAAGGCTGAGAATAAATGCTTAAGTCAGCTATTCTCCTCTCAGAATGTGCGTTCAGTGTCAGTATGTCTGTCTTTGCTTTGGCCTCTATAACCAGCCCACTGCCAGTTTAGCCAACTATATTTCAGCACTCTGGGTTGCCTTGGTGGAAAACAGCGCATTTTATTTTAGTCTTGTAGACTGCTTAATGTATGTGGATGTGGCCTAAAATGCGACTTTCTGAGGATACTAGAAATAAAATGAGATGCAGATTCAGAGTTATAAAACTCACTGTGCTGTATGATTACTAAATATTAGAAACGTAAACATTAACTGATCAGACAACAGAGTAAGGCTCGATCAAAAGGCATACTCGCTACTGTTCGTGTCAATCTGGCAACCTGCATTCACATTGAGTCATCAGCTATTAAAAATTGAACTGAAACGCCTACATTAACCACTGGGTGTCAATATTACATGCTAGATTTTCAAAGGTCCAAATTAAAATAAAGTTTTTTTTTTTCTTTACATGATAGTGTGGTACAAAACAATGACAAAATCCATGTGTAGAAGATATAAAACTGATATAAACATGGAGGAAGGGTGTCTGCAGGTTTCAGAGTTAAATTTACGACTTTAAGACATTTTTAGGATCATTAGTAATGGAATTTCAGACCCATAAAGGGCTGAAGACTAAGAAATCTTTCAAATGACCCAGATGGAAAAGATTTTTAATTCGCCCTATTAATTTTTTTACAATAATTTAATACATTTATTAATACAATAATATATGTTTTATTTAAAAAAAATATTTTTACATGACATTTTTTAGCTAAATATTTTAAATATTGTGTACAAACAAGCAAGCTCTAGTTGTATCCATACACATGTTTTACATAAACTTTCTTTAAAATAAAATTAAATTAAACAAATCTTTTAAAAGTATTAAAAACTATAATGAACTAAATGTATGCACAACAATCAGGTCAGTGTCCTCATCAGTAAATACATGGAGAACTATTAAACAAATGTGTTTGTAAGGAAAATAATTAAACCATTATAATAAACAAAATTAAAAACTACCTTTTTAAATAAAAAATGCAAGTTTTATCGAGAAGATTGGTGAATATTGTATGAGTTTTGGCCAGATTTGTTATAAGTACATGAACAAAGGAAAATTAAGACCTGTTTAAAAAGATATTTAAGACTTACAACACAATATTTCAGCAAATGTAGGACTTTTTAAGGCCTAAAATTTGGAATTTAAGATTTAGGACATTTTAAGACCCTGCAGAAACCCTGTGTAGAGCTCCCTTCCGCCAAAATGAATCAACTTTTTTTTTTTACGTCACCTCATACTTCAGTCTTGACCAATCAAATGCTCTCTAATATCTGACACTCCCAGCCTCCTTAGCTTTTCATTTGATGCTTGAGCTCAACTACTCTCAATGGCAGAGCTCTGATAAAATCAAAACTCTATAGGCTGTTTTAAAGGGGAGGAGCTACTATAAGCTCCACCCTCTGCATGTTTAAACTGCGATTACATAAAACAAAATGCATTTTCAAAGCACTTCATGGGACCTTTAGGCACAATCAGCTTAAAAACATGCAACACTCAATGACAGGTGCTGATGTACGATACATACATATTTGCTCTCAAACTTCCTGGCGAGAGCCTCGACTTCCTGCCGCTCTTTGTCTTCGTCTGCAAACGGATCGCTGGGGTCCAGAGCTGGAGTGAGACCCTGAGGAGCTTTCCTCACCTTCAGGAGCAAATAAAACAGGTCAGGCAAAACTAATCCAATTGTTTACATGCAAAAAGGTATGAGTTATGCATTATAGGTTTCTGCTACTCATCAGTGTGCAATAGAACGTCAATATTTTATTATTAGGGCTGCACTATATCCTATTTCAGAATTAATAAAGGGTTAATGCACTTGGGGATAAGAAATTGTGCTGTTTTAAACTTTAATGAAGACTAATTTCCTATAAAAACTATCATTTTTAGTTGTAGATTATGCAGTGTAATTTTACAACACTATTCATTGCCTGTAAATGAATACTGTTAGACTGTACACTGTAAAAAACGCTTCCCTTCATGCTGTCCCAACACAAATTAATTAAGTTATTCAAACTGTTTTTTAAATATTTAAGTGGATTGAACATAAAACAATTAAGTTTCTTACTTTATTTTTTTTAAATCATATTTTATATATCATTTCCTCACCTACACAGACATATCAATCAATCTAAATAATAAACTCTTTCCTTATAAAGCTATCTGGTGAAATTGCAGGGTTCAACAATAAAGATTGCCCGGTGGCCAAGGGCCAGCATGCGCGAGCCGCTCGAGACAGCATATTACAGGATAGTTATTGGCCCAATTGGGCCAGTGCTGCCTTGTCACTAAAGTTTCGACTGTTTGTCAGTTGCATGCAAATTTTAGGTGCGTTTCACACCTAGACGTTTGTTTCAGAACCTGTCTCTTTTGCTCAGCAAGCTCGGTTCGTTAGGCATGTGAATCCCACAATCACACTTAGATCCGCACCAAAACAATTGCTCCGAGATTGCCTGAATAAGGCGGTCTCGGCTCGATTGAATCAAACTCTGGAGTGGATCTATTGCAGTGAGAAAGCAAAACGATCCAACGAACCAGGATTTATCACAGTGTATTCTTGATATGTAACTGGCATATATACAGCTATATGAAGAGAGAATGAGGAGTACGGCGGCATGTCATCATTCCTACCGACAAATATGAGTTTGTTGAATATGAAAGTGAAAGCATGCTGAAACATCACAGAGAGCTGTTTATCCGTTAGAAAAATTGACAGAAATTGCTATCAGCTCATTTTTCTATATTTTAATAATTTGTATTAGGCCTGTTGTATTGACAGCTCGAAAGAAAGATTAGCATTGATCTGCTTTAGGATCTGACTGTAGTCTAGCTTAATCTGTTATTTCTCTCTATTTATATATTTATATATTAGGGCTGTGCATTATATATTCCTGCTGCCGCCTGTTTTTATCATTAATCAAACAACAAGGAGAAAATCCCTCACTGCTCTTGACTGAAGAACTTTTGTAGCTAAAGTGTTTTTCTTACAGTGAAGATGCTTAAAGCACAGTTTGCTTCATAGTGTTATTCTATTGTATTTATTTCTTTTTCCTTTGCAGAGTGGAAAATAACTGTATATATGCAGTGGAAGTCAGAATTATTAGCCCTCCTGAATATTAGCAACCCTTTTCTCCTAATTTCTGTTGAATGGAAAGAAGATTTTTTTACTTATTTCTGAACATAATAGTTTTGATATATCATGTCTAATTACTGATTTCTTTTTTCTTTGCTATGATGACAGCACATAATATTTTACTAGATATTTTTCAAAATACTAGCATTCAGATTAAAGTGCAATTCAAAGGCTTAATATATTGCTTAAAGGGGCTAATAATATTGACCTTAAAATGGGTTTCAAAATATTTAAACCTGCTTTTATTCTAGCTAAAATAAAAAAAAAGACTTTCTTCAGAAGCAAAATATTAGAAGAAATACTGTTAAAATTCCTTACTCTGTTAAACATCATTTGGGAAATATTTATTTAAAACCAAATTCTCAGGAGCGCTAATAATTTTGACTTCAACTGATAATAATCGTGATGACAATTATGACCTACATAATCATGATTATGATTTTCCCAAAATCGAGCAGCCCTAATATATATATAAAATCAATAATGTTTTTTCTTTTTTCCTTTAAATTTACACACAATTGTAATTTTTAAAATTGTCAGTTGTATTTAAAGAAAAGTTAAGCTGAAGTTATGTTTGGCTTTTGACATAATTTAAAATATGTGGCTAAAAAATTGCTATTAACTTATTTTTTGGTGAGGCCATTGAAAATTTTGGCAGGGCAAGTAAAAATCTAAAACACTGGCCAGTTGAAAAATTCCTTAGCGTTGAACCCTGAATTGTATTTATAAATTTGTCATGTCACGATAAATAGGTTTTTTTTGTGTGATATATTGTCAAAGAAATTATCGCAATAAGTAAAATTATTATCATTTTAGGATCTAGAGCTAATTAGAACACCTTTGAGCCACCAGTAGTTTTAAAGAAAGCTTGAAAATACATTATTTCCTAAACAATACATAACATGTCACAAAAAATGTATTGAGGTCACGTCCATGTATTGCATGATAAGAAGATAAATTGATTATTGTGACAGGCCTAATTGTAATATATATATTGCAGAAAAATAAAGATTTTTCTAATATTGTGCAGCCCTTTTTTACATCAAAGTGCAATACAGACAACATCCATATAGTATACCTATGAGCAACAATCGTACAGATTGTCTTTATTCTTAACCATCTGAAACTATTTCACACCATTTGTGTTTATTCACCTTTCAGCAGCATGGCAGCATCAAGGCTATTTTCAAGGCGATCCCAGAATAAATGACAAAAGGTTTACAATTAACAAACAGCCATAAAAGACATTTCAGATTAACACTACACAACAACTACCCAATACATTCAGATGATACTTTTATTATTTATTTAAAGTGAAGTGTTTAAGAGTGCTGGTACTCTCTGAAAGTAACCATGCTATAATATTTTCTGGTATGCAACTATAATAAAATAGTCATGAGCTAAAAACTACTTTACCACTCATCATTCAGCTAAATCTGGATCTGCCGTTACTATTATAGACTGATGTGACGGATACTTTAAGGAAGTCAAAGAAAAGACAGTCCACTTTGGTGTCTTCATCAAATGTATAAAAGTGATTTTTACAGACATAGAAAGCAAAATACATGCAAGTAATGCATTTAAACTTTGGTTTTAGGCAACTTTGATGAAAATAAAATGTCAAATTAAGGTGAAACAATGATTCTTACTCATTAAACAAAGAAAAAAAAATGCTTATTTTGATTTGTAGTAAATCAGGGTCACTGCAGATAACATTTATACTTCCGCCTGGCACTACGTCGCACTGACTCGCACATCTCACAAAACAGACGAGGCTTTTATACTTGATGCGTTCGCCATTGAGATATTTTTTTAAATGACAGGGGGTGGTCAAAAAAAATCAGACGAATAGAAACATAATCATTATCATTGAAGATGTTTTTGGGGGCCTCTTTTTTTGTTGTTTTAACAAACTTATCCCTCAGGTTTTTCAAAGATTTTACAAAAACTTTCCTCCTTTCCTATGGCTGTTGCAATTTCTAGTCAATAATTATTGGTCATCTGGTTCTCCCTATGATCACGCATGGATGGATCATAAAGATTTCCGTACAGACAGACGTACCTGTTTCAGACAAAATCTCTTCAAAGTGTTTCATATTCAACTCAAATCAAATGTGGCGCCGTGCGAGTCTCAAAAGTCTCAAAAATTGTATTAGCTCCGCTATGGCGTTATTTCACTGACAAATGTCGTGAGCGCAGTATTAGAAGTCACGAGCGCATTCATGTAAAACAAGCGGGCGAATCTCTTTGCTCGTGCACCGATTTCCTCTGTTTGTGGACAAAACTGCGTGTGATCTCTCGAATATAATACGCTGCTCACGCGCATATTTTCTCACTCTCAAACATGCACTGCTCACGCACAAATATTCTTGCGCACTCTCAGTACACTGTTCCCTCTTCCTTTTGTGCTTTTTGATATGATTTATATTAGTACACTATTTCTTACCAATAACCAAAATACTGGAATAGACTTACATATTACATTTTTAATCGAATAAAACATCACATTTTTGGCTGTACGTTGTATGAGATATTTTCAGTTTCAAACACTTTAAGACACAGAGAATAGTTTTATTTTAAAAGCATTTATTAAACATCCATAAGGTGCACCATAAAACAACAACTTGCGACATTTGTCAGTGAAATAACGGCATACTCTGCCAGCTGAAATCATGTCGCGCGCACTCAAAGCACAGCGATGACGTCACATTTGCCGCGCGCACTGAGTTTAATATTAGAAAGCTGATTGGCTATTGCAAGTTGACCTTTTGTAGTTGCAATACCGCAAATTACAATTGGACTAGTGAAATAAAGAACTACAACACCCCAAAAACCTAGCAACAAACAACAAAAAAAAATTTAAATGAGCATTAGAAGTAGCGTTACATGGACATCGCAAAAATAAGACCTGTGCAAAAATGTTTAAGACCCAGAACAGCGAATGTAAGACTTTTTAAAGCCCTAAATTTCGATTTTTAAATTTAAGAATTTAAGACTTTTTAAGACCCCGCTGGGACCCTGTAAATAAAATGAATAAATTAATGTATTGTCAAACTAATATTTTTACATATTAAAAAACATGAACAAATGGGTGAAAACTCATGGTTAAAAAAGTAAATAAATACATTTGGCAGCTTGACAACACGTGCACAGCACACAAATTCTCAACACATGCAAATGCAGAAATGTGCTGCAAGTTAGGAAAACATGTGCACATAGAAAAATGCTAATAAATTGAAAAAAACAAACATGTTAATTTTCAATTTGTTAGTATTATACTCTATATGCATGCTACGAAGCTTATTACTGCCACAATTATGATTCTTGCTCTACACGACTAGATTTAACTAGCATTGACACTCATCTGTGAATCATGTGGAAAATGTATGGTACTGTTTTTGCTTAGAAACATTAACTATTAAACATGTTAATAATGTAACAAAATATGTACATACAATTTTTTAGTTGTTGTGTGTACCGTGTATATGTATTAATAAATACGCACAAGCCTATATATTTGAGAATATGCTTGTTAATATAAATTAGATACTCATAGAATACAAATGATATATAAATTTAAATAGCTATGCAAAAAAAAAGCTTGTATAGTTTTTCTTTTATGTATTTGTGTGTATTTCATATAAAATGGATATTTATAATACACACAAACACATAACTTATGCTAAAATAAACTTAACTTGAATGTGATTAATCGAGATTAATCTTTGCCCAACACTGATTTTCACACTTTTAATGATTATGGAGATACTTCGTTCTAGCCTAAAGTCATTCAGAATCCATATGGGACATTTAATGACTACTAATTCACACATTTGCAAATTAACGTTACGTCAGTGTGAGATAGTACTGCTGTCAACAAAATTCTGAGTAAAAATCAAACTTTCACAAAACGTATCTTACAGCTTGTATTAAGGTAAGATGGTTTTAGATTCGTGCATTTAGACCTTCTCCTTAATAATATAATTTCAGAAAAGTATTATTTGCAAATTCTAAACAGGGAAATCATATTCGCAGCCAATGACTATCGAAGTACAACATTGTTGTACTTTGTACAGCAGGGGTCACCAACATGGCACACAGGTAGCCCACGAGGATCTCGTGTGTTGCCCGCAGGCCTGTTATAAAAATAGCTCACCATAGCGCCACCTACTAGTAAGCTCATCTAATATAGAAGTAATCATTAAAAATGTATATATTTGCATAGATAAATAAAAATAAAGTGTTGCACATTGATATATTAAATACAGGGTATTTTCTACCCTGTTAAATCATTGTTGGTAACTTTGTGAGAATCATTAACATGATCAGTGTCGTCACATAGATGAATATTATTAATTATTACCAAAAACATAAATTATAATTAAAAGTAAATTGAGTAAATTTGTTATTTGAGAAGTGTTTATCAAACTGGTAGCCCTCCACATTAATCGGTACCCAAGAAGTAGCTCTCAGTTTCATAGAGGTTGGTGACTCCCGGTTTACAGTCTATTAAATAGTGCTAATGCTGTTTTAAAGTCCCAATTACATGCGATTTCAGAACAAATAATCAAAGTAGTGCGTTAACCAATGTAGTGACTGTGTCGCTGTTCAAAAATGAATGAATGTGCGAATATAAAACCATCTTTACCTCAATAATACAGCTTATTTTAATTATTTTAATCCTGATAAATGATAAACCTTCCCATAAAAAAATAAATAAATGTTTTCACCAATATATCGAAACCCTTTCTCGGTTTTTAGTGTAGGCTTGGCATTGTGAATACTGTGTATTTCACTTTGATTTTGGCTTTACTGTATTAATCTATGCTTGTAATTTGTGCCCTTTTCCTGTCCTACAGAGTCAATACAATCAATTAAAATTAATGAACCCTTTCCTAATAATATCTGGTGAAATTGAATTCATATTGTAATTAGGACTGTCACAAAAAATTAGTTTTTGTTGTGCGATATATTGTCATAGAAATAAATCCGATAAGTGAAACTATCATACTGTTAAAATCAAATAATGTCTGTTTTAATATAATAATTATACAGCACATAAAAAGGAATAAAATCTCCTTTAGGGGGCAAAAAAACGACATATTTGTGAATAGTCACTTTTCTGAAAGTGGATTTGAAACACAGCAAATATTTATGGTAGTGTCATAAGAAATATAGCTACTGTACCGTGTCGCTGTTCAAAAGTGAACGAATGTGATAAACGAATTCGGTTTCAAACCCATAACCATTTCCATTAAGGTGAAGTTGGTTATGAGTAGGCCCACCCGGAATCTACGCGTGCAGAATTCCACAAATGTTTAGCCCATTATTAATTCCGTTCATTTACATGAGTAAATGTGTGTAAATCTATATTTATTTAGTTTTTACCCTAATTTCAGTAATATTATTGACTAGTGTGAAAATGTTTATCTGATTTATGTACAATGCAGTCTGTACAGTAATATTTTCTGTCTTTTACTAGATATATTATATGCCATACTTGCTTTATTTACCAAATAAAGTGAATCTAATAGGATTTGCATTTTAAACATTAAATAAAAGTTAAAAAGATATCATTTTTTATTTGATGTATTAAGGTTTTAGTTATGATACTCCCAAAATAATTCCACAGAAATCCGCAGACTTTTACCAAAATTCTCTGCAGAAATTGCAAAAAACATCCGCAGATTCCGTCTGGCCCTAGTTATGAGCAATTCCATGCAAATGTCAACCTTGCCATGAAAAAACTAAAGTTTTTACCAAAATATTGAAACTCTTTCTAGGTTTTTAGTGTAGGTTTGTAATTTGTAGTACTGTAACAATACTCAAATCTCTCTGTCAATGTTTACAACCAATTATATCTGATTTTCCAAAGTCACACAAGTGCCTACTTCATCCGTAACCAAGCTTTTTCCACAGAAAAGCAAAATAAATTAAAATCAGTCAAGTTTGTTCTATAGAGAGCAAACTTATCTTTTTAATGATCACCATTTCTTTTGGGTTGTGCAGTTTACAGAATTTGTACAAAGTTTGTTGCATACATTAAACTTGCAGTTTTTTTTTTCGGTCACTTCTATAATGCATGCTTATTTTCCTGATTTAAAATAAACATTTTAGTACATAGGGATGCCTTTCTGCTCCTTTAAGTTGTTTTGAAAAATATAAACAGGTTTTCAACATAATTAGTCAACATATGCTTTCTCTGTGAATTTATGTTTTAAGTTTTTACTGCAAATGCCACATGCATGACTCTGGAATTGCTCAACGTTACCTTAATTTGTCGACAAAGGACAGAGTTGAAAACAAACTTTCACTGAAAGTGTCTTAAGTTACATCTTATATACTAAAAGTTCGCTTCTGACAAATCAATCGGGGGTTTAAACCCATGAATCCGGTTTTAAACCCAGCACAGTGGTGTTTCAGGGTCTCACCTGCAGGCTGGCGGTGATCAGCTCGCCGTAGTTAAACTCTGCTGATTTCTGCTCATTCGGCTCTGACAGGCTCAGGTTTAGTCGGACGGTGCGTTTGGGTTCGCCAGGATCCGTAGCCGGTTTCGCGGTAACATTACCGAACAGCCCCCCGCCGGTGACACCGGGGGTCGGCTCATTCTCCTCATCCTCCCGTCGGCGTTTTTTAGTCTCGGGCGCCGCCGGTGTGGTGCTGAAAGAGGCGAGGGTGACGAACGGGACTTTTCTCGGGTCAGCCATTGGGCTCTCCGGTTCTGCTCGAGCCCGGACACGCGCGCCCCTGACTGTTAGCTTGAGCTAAAATTAGCGCTCACACTCCCAAACAATACTTTAACGCTGACACGAAAGGAAACGAACTCCGTTTTAGGTCATAAATTATTTCCTCTCTGCATTCAGGTTGCTTCCGTTTCATTTAGTCGAGTGTGAAATTAGTTTTTGTTTGTGTGAAATCTCGGCAGCATCTGTGGCAGCCATTTTCGATAGCAGTAAATACAGGATGAGGCGGTGGGGTCACCGAACATGCGCAGTACGCGCGACGCTGGAACTTGACCAATTAGAAGTCACAAAGAACTCCAAGACCCGTCCTCTGGGGGAAGTCTAGCCCGAGAGGGCGGAGCCAGTGCTGTGCGGGCTTATGGCGGGAGATTTAGAATTGAGGGGGTACCAATTTGTTTTTCTTTTATTATTTAATATAATAAAGTCGACACTAATGCAAAATACAGTATTCTGAGCAAAAACTAGACATGTTTATTCTGTCATTTTGCACCAGTTTATATGTGGCCGGTTATTATCACACCTTTCAAAAAAGAGATGATTTTAACAGCAAAATGCTATGGGCGAATGGTTTGTAAACATTCAGGATGCGCGCGCATCAAGGTTGCAGAAAAAACGGGAGCGCTAGCATTTACAGCGAGGGAATGACATCCGATGCGGTACAGAGTTTGTTGTTGTCTTAAAGATAAGTTATGATGATTACATATTATATATATTATTTACATAATGCTTTCAGTGTAATATAATAGCCTGTCACCCAGTGATAAGCACAGTTATTCTGCAAAATTAACGTTAAAGTGAGCGGCATTCATCTGACAAGTCCATCTGCTGTAGCTAGCACCCTCCAAATGGATATTGGATAATATGAAATGGCCAAGCATCTGAAGTGGTTACAAATTATTAGAAATTGAAAATCAAAGTTAATTCGTCTTTCTAGTCTGTACACTTTCGTTTTATTAAGTAGAAAATAGAAAATAAATATTGTAAATTAATGTAATGGGATGCAACGATTTACATTTTTCCGATTGGCTACTTCTGCCTGTGGGCTGCATACCTAATGAGGGGGAGGGGCTTGCTGCTCAAACAATACACAGACTCTGACGTGAAGCAGCAGCAGCTTCGTGTTTCCTGTGTTTTTATTAACATTATTGTCCCTCATCAGGTATGAAATATTGAAATCGTTATCAAAATGTGTTGAATATACGTTAGAGATATGAAAGCGTGACAAGTGTCATCTATAAAATTAACCTGATAGTGTATATTAATATATATATATATATATATAAGAGTTCGTATTAGCTGTATATATATATATATATACATATACATATATATATACATATACATATATATATATACATATACATATATATATATACATATATATATATATATATATATATATATATACATATATATATATATATATATATATATATATACGCTCTGCACTGTAATTCCAACGACAAAAATGATGATTTAAATGTCAACTGAAGAAACGGTCAAGTGAATGTATATTATCCCTGCTGAAAAGTCCAGCTTAAACCAGCCTAGGCTGGTTGGCTGGTTTTAGCTGGTTGACCAGGCTGGTTTTAGAGGGGTTTTGGCCATTTACAGGCTGGTTTCCAGCTATTTCCAGCCTGGTCTTAGCTGGTCAGGCTGAAAAATGACCTGCTAAATCCAGCTAAAACCAGCTTGACCACCCTGGTTTAAGCTGGATATAGCTGGTTTTGGCTGGGCTCCCAGCCTGGCTAGGCTGGTCAAGCTGGTTTTAGCTGGTCATGTCCCAGCCTGACCAGCTAAGACCAGGCTGGAAATGGCCAAAACCCCTCTAAAACCAGCCAACCACAATAGGCTGGTTTAAGCTGGATTTTTCAGTAGGGATATGTATCAACATAACAATTAACAAAGGGAATATTGTTACAAAAGTAATTATAAAGTTACAAAGTGCTATTATTTCCCATAGTTGGTTACAATGTATATATAAAAAGAAATATATGTGTAGGTCGGTTATAAGGCTTTGTGTGTGTTATAGGACAATTAAACTGTGAATAGTTTATTTAGGAAGAATCATATAAGTCAAGTCAAGTCAAGTTTTATTATTTGTCACATACATAGTTATACAAAGTATGACCAGCAGTGAAATGTAGGTCAGGTCCGCTCCAGAGATAGTTCAAGTATAGATAAACAAAAATTAAATAATAAGGGGAAAAAAAATGATGCAAAAAAAAGATTTGCAAAAATTATACAAGGTAATAAGAATAGCAGCAATATGAGGTACTTATAAATATGACTACTACGGTGATAAATACGAAAAAATCAAGTAATGTGTAACACCGGGTTAGAATTTAGCAGCCTGAATTTAGCAGCCTGATGGCCTGGGGAAAGAAACTCCTTCTAAGTCTCTCAGTTTTTGCCATCAAGCTACGGAAACGTTTTCTAGATGGAAGCAAAGTGAATAGATAATTGTCCGGATGGTTTAAGTCCTTACAGATTTTAACAGCTCTATTTTTACAGCGTTCAAAATAGATGTCCTGCAAGGAGGGGAAAGCAGACCCCTTATAATGACTTTATAGTAATTAATAACAGTAATGTGCAGGGAATATGTGTGTGAATATTTTGTGATATATATATATATATATATATATATATATATATATATATATATATATATATATATATATATATATGTATATATATATATAAAACATATGTAAACATCTTCACAGATATTATATATATATATATATTTATATATATAATATCTGTGAAGATGTTTACATATGTTGTTCTACAATAAGTGTATAATGAAGTGCATTCATTTAAAAAAAACAATACACAGACTCTGACGTGAAGCAGCAGCAGCTCCGTGTTTCCTGTGTTTTAATTAACAATATTGTCCCTCATCAGGCGGTGAGGGCGCTACACATCCAGCGCGAAATATACAATCTCATTGAAGCTCCAAGTGATTTAACAAGAGAGAAGTTAAAGGCCTACAAGTCTTTGGATGTCTACAATGTTGTTCTGTGTGGTCATGTGCAAAATATAATGCTCCATGATGACTAGATTCAACACTAGAGCTGAAAAACCGAGATTCTGCCTAGTCAAAGACAAGGAAAGAAGACAGAGCTGTACAAGGCCTGGGTAATCACCAACAAGCAAAACAACAGCATCTGGCAGTGAACTGCACCTGTACGGCAGGGTATGTCAGCTTACATGTTTACATTTCCTCCTAAGCATTCAGTGTCGGCAGTTTAATTCGCCATATTTAACTGTTATTGCTGCAATCAAAAAACAGTAATGTGTATGATTCAGCATAGCATGAACTTACCTGATATAACATCATGTGTGATGCATGTTGGTAATTCCCCAGTTTGGTGGACCAGAAGTCATCTTAAACATTAATTGTGATGTGTGCAACAATATGGGCAGAAACAACCATTCGGCATGTGTTGTTATTTATGAAAAAGAAGCTGAGAAAAGAAGAAACATCAAAGAAAAAATTAGTAATGAAATATTTATTAGTCTGAAATGTAATATTGACGGTGCTGGAAAATGGGTAGTTTCATTTTTAACATTTTTAACTTATTAAGGACATCAAAATGATCACAAAACGAACATAACACATGCTAAAGGGGAATAATCGAATGGCCAGGCATTGTTGTGATAACAAATACAATATATAGAATAAATACAATCATCATTCATTTTCTTGTCGGCTTAGTCCCTTTATTAATCCGGGGTCACCACAGCAGAATGAACCGCCAACTTATCCAGCAAGTTTTTACGCAGTGGATGACCTTCCAGCCGCAACCCAACTCTGGGAAACATCCACACACACACTCATATACTACGGACAATTTAGCCTATACCCAATTCGCCTGTACCGCATGTCTTTAGCCTGTAGGGGAAACCAGAGCACACCCACGCGAATGCAGGGAGAACATGCAAACTCCACACAGAAGTGCCAACTGAGCCGAGGTTTGAACCAGCAACCCAGCGACCTTCTTGCTGTGAGGCAACAGCACTACCTACTGCCTCGCCTACAATATAATCATTCATATTATATATATGTTTTAAACGATAGTCTCATTAATGTTAGAATATGAATGTAGAAATGTAAAAAAGATCAGTCATCATTTAAAAATACACATACCTCGATGTTAGTGTTTGCTGACAGTATACTCAATAAATGACATGATTTGAAAACCTTTACTTAAAAAGTAGACACAGCACAAAATACAATAATGAAAAAGTTCTAGCGCAGCTGTTTCCTTGAAAAAGACGTGATTGTGTCATTAGAAACTGAATTGAAAATGACCTTATTTTAATATAGTCAGTCGTGAACTGAGGTGGGCCGGTGTAAGGCTTGAAACTTTAGGGCTGAAAAGGAGTCCCACTCCAGCCCTGGCTGACAGTATACTCAATAAATTACATGGTTTGAAAACTTTTACTTAAAAAAATAGACACATTACAAAAAACAAAACAAAAAAAAACAATAATGAAAAACACAAAACACACAGGAATATGAATTGTATAACACAGCAACATTGAGGACATCATGAACATCTTGAGGAAGAATCATGAACAAATAAGCAGCAGGTTTATTGTGTACAAATATTGACTTTGAGATATGAGAGAAATATGAGAGTATTTTAAAAAGTTTCTACTATGTATTTCATACTTTTTTTGTATTTTATTTCATATTTATTTACTTTCCCTGCTAAAAAATCCAGCTGGTCATCTCCCAGCCTAACCAGCTAAGACCAGGCTGGAAATGGCTGGAAACCAGCCTGGAAATGGCCAAAACCCCTCTAAAACCAGCCTGGTTGACCAGCTAAAACCAGCCAACCAGCCTAGGCTGGTTTAAGATGGATTTTTCAGCAGGGATATTTACTCACCTGCTTTTTATCTTCACGAAATAGAATTTTTTTAATTGATGGCCTAAATTAAACACATGTTGTTTCTCAAACTGATATTGGTGAATCATGTTTGGGACAGAATACAGCCACCTGCTGGCTGTTTAGAGAAAGAGACACTACTTTGAAGAACAAAAAAGTAGTATGACCACATGAATCCAGCAGAGGGCCATAGATACCTATTTATTTTTGTCTGGATGTGTCAAACTGCTTCTAACTTAACTTTATGTATAATTTAACTTAAACATATTTTACATAAAACCAGCTCGCATTAGTATGCATTAAAATTAGTATTTCTGTCAAAGGATTTATTATTGATTTATTTACATTTTGAGATTTCTTGCAGACGTTTATATACATACCGTGTTCAGCAAATAAGTGTACACCCCTCACAAATCTCTCATTTAGCTTAATATGTTTTATAGGAAGCTTTACTTCATAATACTTGTGCATTTACATTAAATTAGTCAGTACTGAAGCCAAATCTTGAGTTAATCTAACAAAATATGATAACGGTTCAAAATTAGTACAACCAAATGTATAGGTTAGGGAAAATATTGAAAACTAAAGAAGAGCAAAATTCAACAGAGAAAAAAAAAAAAATAAATAAAAAAATAACAGTAATTCGCATGAAGTTTTTAAAGATGTTGAGAGACTAAAATATTATTTTAATAAATATATCCATTTAATAAATCTGTTTTATTCAAACTCACCAAAATATATGACCTAGATTCACTGAGAAATGGATAAAAAATATTCAGTTTTAAAATGGGGTGTACACATTTACGTTGAGCACTATATATAGATTTATTTACAAAAACATCTAAACTCTATTTCCCCCATTAATTTCTATTAAGTATGCACGCTTATAAAAAGTTAGGTATAAGGTATGTAAGGATGAAAATACAAAGTTTGTTATACAAATGTTGTAATCAGAATAGTATGTGCATATGCGCAACACCAGAGCTGTGCATGCAAACTACAGGTTACATGTGTATTTATTTAGTAATTTAAGTAACTTGCTCATCCACTAGGTGGAAACCATGCTTTGGGCATTCAAAATTGAAGGACGTGTAAAAAAAATGAACAGACCCAATCTACAGAAACTATGGAGGCTTGCATGATTGAGAGTTATGCCGAGTTCAGACTGCATGATTTTCAAAGTAGTCGTGTCACAGATGTTTTCACACTGCATGACTATCTGGGCTAGCGTTTCGTCGCTGCTTTGTTTACACTGCAAGATGGATCGGCGACAGGGACTTTCACATTGCATGACTTTACTATAGGAAGAATCGGCAACAACTTCATCCAAACTTCGTCTCACAGCCAAAAACACGTCGTATATCTTTTGTTATTGACTACATAATGAGAAAGAAGCCTTTAATGGGGTAGAACATGTACATGTTTGCTCGCCTGGGTTTAAAGGGAATTAGCCATTTCTCCTCAACGTTAATAATAAACTAATTTCTTTCTGTATGAAACGTCAAACAGACACGGTTGCTCCTGACTCCTGTCAAACCTCCACTAGTTTTTCCTCCATTTCGTGGGTCCAAATAAACCGAAAATGAGCGCTTTTAACTTCTCCCCCAGCCTTCCGCTGGCCTGCAGCAGGTAAACACACACACGCAAGTGAATGCCGCTCTTTCATTGGCTGTAGGCGATCGCTGATGTTATTTTCAGTCAAAACTCAATTCACACGGCATGATTTGAATCGCCGACAGCTCCAGATATTCAGCATGCCAAATATCTCGCAGGCATCGGCGACTCATCGGCGATTCTCTCAGATCGCGTCTTTGATTGTTCATACTGTGTGATTGTCACTCACGTGCACAAGCAGCGATTTGCCTGTGATTTCAGGCATTTGTCGGCGATTTCTCAAAACCTGTCGGCGAGCCAAAATCGGGGCAAAAATTTTTTGAAAGTAGTGTAATGGAAATTCATTTTTAGATGAGCTTTATATGTTAGAAACTTGTCTAAGACTCATTATTACATATGTGTGTATCTGTGTTCTCCATATGTTCATCATAAAACCTATGTGTACATTTTTATAGATAACTATATTTCTTTAGGTGAAAGCTTTTTTATTATCCTAAGAAGGATGTGTGGTTGTTATGAGCATATTGCACGAACAGCAGAAGACGCCTGACGTAATTGTAGATGAGGCCTTATTGGGAGTTGACCTCGTAAGCAGTACAAACCAGATAAAAGGGTGAACACACTTGACTTCAGTATCTCACTCTGCAGAAACTGTTGTTGCTGTATGACTGTGATCTGCTTTATAAAGAATAAAACTTGTAAAAGACATCCCGGGTAAGACTTTGTTTCTTGACCACCGAGAGAGCCTCCTTAGAGAAAATAGCCACTACAGTAGCTACATTTATTTATATGCCTCTGGCATGAAGAATCACAACGACATTTATGTGGATTATAACTCGTACTGAGAGGCTGCAGATTGTAGGCAAGCATCTACTTTGAGTTTATGTGCAAAAGCAATTTTTTTAGTGTGATAGAACGTCTAAACAAATTTGCAAAATTGATTTTAGTGGCCTGCTGACAGTAATAGCATTTGCAAAAGCAATTGTAACCAAACAGGACAATTGTAATAACTGGGGCAGGACATATGGGGCAATTTTTTTGCTCCATATATACTGCACTTAGTTGCAAAACTAACTAACTGCATTCTTCACTTTGATTTTATTAGGTCACTCCCAAACCACAAGGAAACATTTAATTTTGCTGAATTTTTAATATGTGTAATATTACACACCTAAGGCAGTTTACCAAACAATCAATTAACTTAAATAAGATGACTACAATATTAGTATGTCACTTTTAAATATATTCAGCCAGATCTCACGAGGAAACATAAGTATTTTACGTTATGTCAGTTTAGTGACTAATTCGTTTAAATTCGTACGAGTTCAGTCCTACGAAAATGTACGATTTTAACAAGGAGGCAAGGCACCCAAGCCCACCCCTAACCCCAACCGTCATTGGGTGATGAGCAAATTGTACTAAATTGTACGAATTCATACAAATTAGCCACTAAATCAAAAAGTTACGAATTGCTGTGAGATTGCGTTGAAATATCATGAATAAGAAACTAATAAATAACTGATAAATAACAAATAATTAACCAAAGTCACAGAAACCAGTTTTGTCAGTCATTTTTAAGTTAATCTGTCTATGAAAGAAGATGCAGACCTACAGGTCTAGCTTTCACCGACTGAACGGTAAGATCCTCAGAGAGGACATCAAACTATAGAAAAAAGGAAAGACAGACTCAGTGAAGGTGGTTGTGAATGTGTGTAGATGTGTGTTTGTTACAGGATCAGAGAAAGACACTGTTCCTCTGTCACAGTCCAGATCAACTCTCACACGCTCGAGATCCTGATTAACATGAAAATCAGACCTTACAGTACAACCATACTGCACACCCCAGACACCGGTCCTAAAGAAAACCCATCCCCTCCTCTGGTTTGACGCTGTAGTTACTCCAAGACTCCAGCATCGACTCTCTTTGACCTCCACATCCCAGCAGTGTTTTCCTGAGGTAAAACCCTCTGAACCCAGAACACACTCATAATAGTCAAATCTCTCTGGATTATCAGGAACAGGCTGATCTTTCCCGGTGAACCTCACAGTGGTCAGATCATCAGAAAGGACCAGGCGTGGATTTGCAGTGTTTGGATCCAGAATCACAGGAGCTGAAGAGACACAATTGACAGCTGCTTTTATTCTCATGTTCATACAATGATCAATTACAGATTGTTATGAATTATGACACTCAAACATGTGGCCATCAGAGGCATGATTGGGAGGAACAACCTCCCAAATCCTAATCCAAATGGTGTTTTGTTGTTGGAGTTCTGTGCTAGTCATAATTTGTCCATAATGCAAAATTATGTTTGAACATGATGTCCATCAGTGCACATAGCACCAGAACACCCTAGGCCAGAGTTTGATAATTGATTTGTGGTTGATTCATCTGATTTCCAAATGTATGTCCTGGACGCTTGGGTCAAGTGAGGGGCAGAGCTGTCAACTGATCACCACATGGTGGTAAGTTAGTACTGCTAACAGTGGGTGTACAGATGTGGCAGGTCCAGACATATCGTGAGAGTCTGCTGGTTATATCTGGGTGAACCATGTCATAGAGATTTTTAAAACTAATCTCGGGAAAGGCTCAGACCATATCTTGGGGGAGGCTGGAGTTCGTGGTGGCAAGGCCTCTGGTGCCTACTATGGCTACAATACATGAACTCGGTGGTGAACATTGCAATCACAGCACAGCATTAAGCTAAGCTAAGGCCTGGTTGGCTTTTGGGACTCCTGATGCAGCTGATGGGTACCAATAGGCCAAGCAAAAACATGGTCCTAGGAAGAATTCAGGGAGGCATAAAAGAGGACTTCTGATTGGCCTCAAAGAGATTCAGGCAAACTGTCTGATGCCTCAGGAAGAGAAAGCAGCTTCTCTCCAACACTGCTTATATTAAAAGTAGGGAGCTGTTGACCTCAAGATGATGCCGAATGGTGGTATTTTAAGATCTTCTCAATCCCATTGACATGCCTACAGAGGTAAGAGATGAAGTGGTTGACTTGTCCCTCACCAAAGTCAATGAGGAAGTCTGCAAGTTCTAAAATGGAAAGAAAGTGAGTATGGAAGTTTTGCCCTGAGTACCTCAAGACTCGTGTGGTGTGGCTGTCCTAGCTGACAAATCTTTACCCTCCACATGGATATTGCGGACAGTACCTCTGGACTGAACATCCGGTGTGGTGGTCCCCATGTTTAAGAATGGGCACCAGAGTGTGTGTTCCCCTCACAGGGGTATCACACTCCTCAGCCTCCTCGGAAAAGTCTATGCCAGGATACTGGAGAGGAGTATCTAGTCGATAATAAAACCTTGAATCCAGAAGGAACAATGCAATTCTTGTTCAGGCCGTGGAACACTGAACCAGCTCTATTACTGGTATTGTTTGCTGTTGAGTGTAACATGGTGAGGATAAAAATTTCCATCTTCAAGTCTGAGGCCATAGTGCTTGACGAGAAAAAGGTGGCTTGCCATCTCCAGGTTGGAGGAGAGCCCTTGCACCGGGTGGAGAAGTTTAAGTATCTTGGGGTTTTATTCACGAGTGAAGGAAGGATGGAATGTGAGATTGACAGACGGATTGGATCAGTGGCAGCAGCAATGTAATCTATGTAGTGGTCTCTTGTAGTGAGGAAAGAGCTCAGCCAAAAGACAAAGATTTATTTATCTATTGGTTAATCTCTGTTGGTTAACTGTTGGTTATTGGTTAACTCTTGCCTATAGTCATGAGCTTTGGGTCATTACAAAAAGGATAAGATGGATGCAAAGGGCCAAAATAAGTTTCCTTTGCAGGGTGGCAGGTCACACGCTTACAGTTCTGTCCCCCGTGAGGAACTCAGAGTAGAGCTATCGATTGATGTTTCAGAATCCTGCAGGATAACTAACTGGGGAGGTGCTCTGGGCTCGAACAAACAGAAGGTTACTTAGAGGTACACCCAGGACACTTTGTAGGGTCTGTGTCTTTCAGGTTATCTAAGGACGTCTTCAGGGGATGGAGGAGCTAAAAGAAGTGTCTAGAAAGAGGGAAGTCTGGGGTTCCCTGCTAAGATTGCTGCCCCCATGACCAGGCCCCAGATAAGCAGTTGAAAATGGATGGATAACATGATCGTTACCTACTACAAATTAAAACAGCATTTACCAGAAACCCAAATCAGTTCTATATTGAAGCACTTTCTTTGTGTGAGTGGAGATCTTGTGACTCACTGTAGTGGACGATGTCCTGCATCTTCTTCCAGACTCTGAACGGCAGGTTCCCCAAGTAGCGAGACACATGAATCAAAGCTCCAGAAGGCGTCTGTGGATCCGGCTGTGAGATCTGGACTCTGGAAGAACATTCAGGAGTCAGAACTGCAGGATTCAGAAGCAGAGAGAGCAGAGACACCAGCAGATCACTCACCTTTCCATCGAGACTGGAAACTCCTGCAGAACAAACACACAACTGATCATCAAGAGCTCAATCCATCATCAATCAATCAATCACTGATCTGAAATCAGACCTTTAGAAAGCAGACGTCATTGGCTTTCAGCATCTCCTCCGTGTCTTTGATTGTGTGTGAAAGAGCTGAGATGTGTGTGTTCATCTCCTCCAGCTTCTCCTTCATCATCTGCTTCTTCTGCTCCTCTTCCTCCCTCAGCGCAGTGATTGTAGCTTCTTCTTCATCTCTGAGAAACTGATGAAGCCTCTCAAAGTCGTTTTTAACCTGACGCTCTGTGTGATCGGCTTGATTCTGAAAAAGTAACAATCACTTTTACCAATCAACACATGTCAACAATGCATAATTAATGTCTATAATACACTCATATACTCAATATAACAGGTTTTGAAGCCAAGTGATGCTTGCCATTAACAAAAAATAATTAAATGGATTCCATTACACTAAATATAACAAGTCATAATTGTGTCTCCAGCAGCTGCAATGAAAAGGACTCTTGATTCTGTTTCCTCACCTTAATGTGTTGAAGGGTTTTCTCAAACTCGTCTTTAACTTGCTCCATGTGTTTAAGTTTGTATTGTAAAGACTTCAGTGCTGTATTGAGCTCCTCCTAGAATTGATCAGATAAAAATATTCAAAATTATCACTTTTGGTGACACTTTATTTTGATGGTCCATTTGAGTATTAGCAGACTGTCTGCTCAATATCTGCTGATCCTGCTCCTTCAACAGACATTTAACTGACTATAAGAAACTTTGCAAGTACATGTCAAACACTAACCCTAACCCCAACCTAACATTCTACTTATAATCTAATAGGGGTGTCACGATTTAGATTTTAAATGCGAAATTTTTGCTCAATCGAATCAAAAAATAGAATCGTTGATGCTGCCACGCCCCCATGTCACGTTAGCTTGGCTTGCCAAGCGGGAAAAAACAGGCTTGTTGAAGTGCTTGTTAAACTGCAGACGCAGGAGACCCGTCGACAGAGCTCAAACCCTCTCCTCTTTCAATGAAGTCGCCGGTGTGGAAGTATTTTGGATTTCCGGTTAGTTATGTTGACAACGTTCGTGTTGTCGACAAAAATAAACACAGTTTGCAAGCTCTGCTATGTACGTATTACAGTTGGGATGATAGACGATGGGCGCATCGTGATCCTCCGCCCGCACCCGTTGCAAATCCGCTCGCGACAAATACACACTCAGGCCCTGTTTACACTAATATGTCTGTTTTTAAATGGCATTTTAGAACGACAACGATCCACATCAACACTGGCATTGTAGCATTTCTGAGCAGCCCTCCTTCCTCACTACCGCTGAAAACGCACATCACGTGACCACACACACTCATTCACACACAGATACAGACGCACTGTATGATTACTGTAGGATTTACTGTATGATTTGTTTATGGGTAAAACTAAGACCATGCAAGTCAGGTAGTTAAAACTGTAGGCTACTAATAATTAATTCATTATTAATGAATTAATTATTCATAATTGTGACTTTAGAATCGAAAATGTAATCGAATCGAGGATTTGGAGGATCGTGACACCCTCATAATCTAATAAGAATTAGTTGACAAGTAGATGCAATGTAACTTGAATTCAACAAACGGACCATCAAAATAAAGTGTTTACTACATTAATTCAGGATTTCAAATTGGGTGTGGCAAAATGGCTCAACAGCACCACCTATGAAATTTAGACCACACTAATTGTGTTACGTTTCACATGTTTACACATTTTTATGTCCCGATACCTACATAAATGGATCTGAAACCAAGCAGTCAGTTATTTTACAGGTCTTGTATTTTAACAAACTCATCCTAGACACATAATATTAATAATAATTATAATAACAACAATTCCTTACATTTATATAGTGCATTTCTGGACACTCAAAGAGCTTTTTACACATTGGAGGGGAATCTCCTCATCCACCACCAGTGTGCAGCATCCACTAGGATGATGCGACGGCAGCCATATTGCGCCAGACCGCTCACCTAATTGGCGGAGAGGAGACGGAGGCTGTTTCTCAATTCCAAGAACGCAGAGAACGGACTTGCCTTCTTGTAGAGACCGGTCTTGCCAGGTGTCCTCGGAAGAACGAACTCAGGAGACCGCGAGGGCAGAGAATGCGTCCTTTGAGAAATGGGATGCTGCGTTCTTCCTGATGGTCATGTGACCTTCACGCGTTTTAAATAGTAAATTATTTAAACATTACAGCACTCATACAACAATTTATTGTTTCCCCCTCTTTAAAATATATACTTTGCATAAAAACATTCTAAATATACTCTGAACAGTATAAATAAAACAGATTTTAATACGAATTTCAGCAAACAAACACCCTTAATGTGTTTATTCCTTTATTAAAATGTTGATGTCAATGTTTACTTTCACCGTTTCATTCAGGAAAACTCCCAAGGAAAATAAGTGATATCTCTGAACTTTAATAATAAATCTAAGTAAAATGCTGCGCTTCCCACCTCCAGTCGCAATGACTTCTGGGACTTCCACAGCGAGTTCGGTGCTCAAGTCTGCATCAGTGCATCCTCGATATCAAGAACACATCCGGGAAGTTTCACGCGTCCTACATACTTGCGGTCTTGAGTATTGGAACTGAACTTAGGCAGCTGTTGATGACGTTGCACGAGAACACGAGGACGCAAGACCGCTGAAGAACGCATATTGAGAAACAGCCAGAGTGATGAATTATGATATGGGGATGGTAAGGAGGCCATGATAAACAGAGGGCAGATTTGACCAGGATGCCAGGGGTAAACCCCTACTGTTTTTAAAAGGACATCCTGGGATTTTTAACAACCACAGAGAGTCGTGGCCTCGGTTTAACGTCTCATCCAAAAGAAGGCGCTCACTGAGCATTCCCCATCACTATACTGGGGCATTAGGACCCACACAGACCACAGGTTGGGGACCCCCTGCTGGACTCACTAACACCACTTCCGACAACAACCTAGCTTTCCCATGTGGTCTCCCATCTAGGTACTGAACAGGTGTAGCCCTGCTTAGCATCAGTGGGTGACCATGTTGTAGAGAGCTAGCTGCCGGCGAAAACACACACCAAGCACATGCAATGTAATCTAAAGGCTTAAGCAATGCTAAATTCCAATTATCTTGAGTTTCCTTTGAAGGACTTGTCCAGAGTGGCCTCACAAGTTGCAATGTTTCACTTAGAAACAGGACATTGTTGTAACTCAGGCATAAAATGTCCAATCTGCCTTAAATTAAAGATTTAATTTTATCATAATTCTTTACATTTTTCCTAGGCTTAGTCCCTGATTTAACACAGCCACAGCAGAATGAACCACCTCACATCATTTAAAATCTTTATATATTTCAATGCATTCGTTAAATTTGCATTCATAGCGCCAGCTTCTGGCAACAGGAAATGGGATGTTATGCATTATTTTAATTATTTTATTTTAGTTTGGAAACATGAGCACGTCTAAAAACCAATATTCAGTTATGGTCATAGCACCACCTGCTGATAGAATGAAGTTTTGCACATGTAATTGACGGATGTATTCTTTAAACTTAAATGGACACTCTTTTCTGTCGTCAATGGGTCACTTGACAGCAGTGAGCATGGGTGCAAACGAGATTTCAGTGCTATAATGTAACATGTTTGCAGACCTAAACAATGTAGTATGGGATGTGCACAGAATCAGAAGAGATCAGTATAGGACACAGTTTATGCGATATTAAGGTAAGACAAATGGCAGAGAGAAATACTGAGTGCATGAATGTGCTGATATCTGTGTTTATCTATACTTACCATTCTTTACATATGAAAAAAGAAACTCTTGTCTTACCTTGGAGGAAGAAACCACTTCACTGATGGGTCTGAATTTGTGATTGTCGTGTTGTTTGGAGTCTCTGCACACTAAACACACAGGCTGTTTGTCCTCCAGACAGCTTCTCAGACAGAAGAGTTTGAGCTTCTCACTGTGTAAACTGCAGATCTTCTCTGATGCTGATGAACATTTCTCATTTCTGTCCTTTAGGAACAACTCACACAGGTTTTTTAATATAAGATTATTCGGAGGGTCATCTCTTGAAGAACTCCGGCAAACAGGACACTCCTGAGTTTTCTTGGTTCTCCAGAACTGTTGAAGACACTCTTTACAGAAACTATGACTGCATGATAAAACTACAGGATTCTTGAAGATTTCACAGCACACGGGACAAGAAAGATCTTCTGCCGAAACATTTAGTGAAGCCATTTCCCCTGTTTGAGCTCCAGCAATCTGAACCTTACATAATGGTAAATAAGCTATAACAAAGTACTGCTGCCTACTCAGAAACAAATATCTCCAAAGATCTTCTTAAAAGTGTTTGTCTTCATTCTTTATTAACTTCTGTTTCTTTTTAAAATCCAGATGAGAAATGAAGAGAGTCTGTGTGACAGCAAGGAACAATACTACTTCAGTTTCTTCCTGGTAAGAGCTGTAAGAGGGTGGAGCTTCTAATGGAGGAACAGGTCTAACAACTTCAGGACGTCAGGCTAACAGACACAATTAAAGTGAACTTAAACATTGAAACTCTTTTAAATATAATGCTTCAAAAGCTCTGCACAAGACTTTTGGCCAGCGGAGAAATTAAAATGGTCGTGCCCAACTGAGTCTGGTTCTCTCAAGGTTTTTTTTCTTCACTCCCATCAGGTGAAATTTTCTTTCCCTCTCAGCTGTCGCCACTGGCTCGCATGGTTCAGGATTGGTAGAGCTACGCATCGATGAATTTGCTCTTCAGTGTTTGAACTCTCAGTAATGATTAAATCACACTGAACTGAGCTAAACTGAACTGAACTTAAACACTAAAAACTGAACTACACTGTTCCAGTTACTATGACCATTTATGTGAAGCTGCTTTGACACAATCTACATTGTAAAAGCGCTATACAAATAAAGCTGAATTGAATTAAAAACCTAAAATCGCATACAGATTAAAACACATGTTTTTATGATTACTAGAAATATACAGATAGCAGAGTATGATTCAGGTTGGAGCTGAACTCTACAGGAAAGTAAATCTCAAGAACCAAAGCTCTTTACTCCTGATATATAGCATGCTACGTAGATAAATAGGAAAAAAAAGTGTAATAATAATAATGAGTTGGATACATATTCAAGGTTGTAAAGCAAACAGAACTCTTGATGTGGCATTCATGAGATGATACAGGAGTTTGTCGCATATGCATTCTATGCACACAGGGGTAGTTCCAAATGCAGCTTTATTATGAGAATGGTCAATCAGGCAGCGGTCAAACACCAGCATAAACAGTTTAGTAGACAATCTAGAAGCATAATCCAAAAACAGGCAATAAGGTTCAGGGCAGGCAGCAAAGGGTCAAAACACAATAAACTATGAGGTGCCGTATAGGATTTAAATCAAACTTTGCTTATCAACACATACATAAAACACGTGTATATACACCTATAAATTACTCGCATATACACCTATACTACTGGATGTTCAAAACAACATGGATACATATAAACTTGACGCATGAATACACCCACATACACACGCACATACATATAAACTCGATCCTCACATAAACGCCCACATTAACACACGCACATACATATAAACTTGCTGCATGCAAACACACATATACACACTTGCATATACATATAAACTCGATTCTCGCATAAATACCCACATTTACATGCACATACATATAAACTCACAGCATGCAAACACACCTATACATATTCGCATATACATATAAACTCGGTCTATGCATATACACCATCAACAACACGCGCACATACACAAACTCACTGCATGCAAACACACCTATAACATCTCGCGCAAACATACAAAAAAAAAAAAAAAATTCACAAACATTTATCACGAATCTGGTTATTGCAAAGCTTATGAAATAGAAATAATGTGATTTATAGAGGGATTAAATATGTTAAATTATGAACATATGTTATATAAAATATTAGTCTATATAAATAGACTATTCAAAATAAGAAATATTTTTATTTAAAACCTTTTCATTTAATTAGGTAATTACATATACAAATATAAATGGACTGATAGAACCCTTAAAGGACGTTCAAAAAGCAACCAGAATTATAAATATAAATGTATACTCAAACTAAACTCCTCTTTTCTATTGCAAATGTTAATGTAGCCTACAGTCTTCTTGTTTTGTTTTTTACATTTTTATAATTATTATGCTTTTTATATGTTTTTACAATGTGGGTGTCAAAATTGCAAGATTTTGGTATCATTTTGATTGTTAATTATTCAGCATATACAAAAAACAAACAAAAAAAAAAACTAAAAAAAAAAAAAAACGCTAATTAAAAGTCTCTGCTCATCATGTTGGTCAATTAACCCCCATGGAAAAGCTATATATATTATCTGGACACTCCTTTTGTGTTTAATAACTACTACTTATACAGCAGCTGGCATCCAGCATTTTGGTGCATTAGCCTGTTTATTGGTGACAGGAAAACCCACTTAAGTGCATTCCTGCCCCCTACTGGACATAAGTGTGTATCAAAACCCTTGATGAATAGTGACAGCAATAATAAAACAAACATAAAAAACTAATATTAGACAAACATATTTTATTCAAAATGATTACTTAAGCAACTTTATATTTATTAAACCATAATAACATTTCCAATAATTTAATTGCATAATAAACCTTTAGTTTTGCAGGAGCAATCCTTTGCATTACCTTTTTATTATTATTTTTTTTATAATTAGCATAATCTATTTTCATAATTCAACAGATGTAAGTCCTCTATTAATCACATTATTTCTGTTTCTTAAGGTTTGCAATAACCTGATTCATGACAAATACTAATCTTGTTCATTACACTCAAAGGACTTTTACGTTGAAATTAAACGACTTCCTTTTAAAGTGAAATAACTTCCTTTTACTGTGAAAATTCATGCATACACACATATGAAATCACTTGCATATATGTATATACACAACTAACTGTATATATGTTTGTGAATTTTATTTTGTATGTTTGCACAAGTGTCATTTGGATGTTTATGCACACATCAAGTTTATATTCTTATGTGAGAGTTTATGGGTGTATATGCATAGATCAAGTTTATATGTATATGCGAGTGTGTATAGGTGTGTTTGCATGCAGCAAGTTTATATGTATATACACAAGTTTCATCCATGTTGTTTTGAACATCCAGTAGTATAAGTGTATATGCGAGTAATTTATAGGTGTATATACACGTGTTTTATGTACGTGTTGATAAGCAAAGTTTGATTTAAATCCTATACGGCACCTCATAATAAACAGTCCAAGGTCAAAAACACAAGAAACAAAGCGAACCGCTTACGTATGACGCAACAGATAAACCAGTGTTTCTCAACTGGTGAGTTGCGACCCAAAAGTAGGTCGCAGGAACATTTTCAGTGGTGGAGTGTTTGGTCAAAAAAAAAAAACAACAACAAAACTTAATTTTTTTTACTTATTTCAAAATAAAAGTCAGGTTTAAGCAAAATATGCGCGACAACCCTACCATTTGACTTGTGAAATTTAATTTAATTATAGCAACAAATATGTCGAAGCGCAAGTACAATATGTAAAGTATGGATTTACATATATTGATGACAAAAAAGACTTAAAGCCTCAGTGTCATATGTAGTGAGGTGCTCTCATAAGAGACCATGAAACCTTCTAAATTAAAACGACATTTAGAAACCAGACATGTTTTATTAACAGTTCAGTTTAGTTCATGGTAACTGAACATTTCCTTACCCTAGCCACTGTTTACAGTATTTGTCGTTTTTACTTTGTAATATTTCTATAATTTGATAAAAAAAAAAAAAATGTAAATGACAGCAATAAAATATTGTTTATTTGTAAGTCTCTGTGAATGTCTGATGATTTATCTGTCACTACTTGTGTATGTTAACAAATAAATACCAACTAATTATAATTCCTAAAATTGTATTATAGTTCCTAAAAATTTGGGTCGCGGCTGGATGACCGTGTAAAAATGTGGGTATGAACAAACCAGTTGAGAACCCCTGAGCTAAACAATACTCAGCAACATGTGTGTGGAACAGAGTGGTATAAATACTCCAAATGATCAATGGTCATGAGTATCAGCTGTGAAAGTGTAATCAGTCAGGATCTGGAACCGGTTGTGTGTTTGTGTGTTGTATGACTGGGTTTTGTATTCCATTATGAGGCAGGATTGTAGTTCGTGTGAGTGTGAATGTTTTCCAGCGATCTCTGGTGGTTAGATTGCTGGTAATCGTGACATTTTATGTCATATCTTTATTTCTACAGGTAACTGGTGCTCTGAGAAAGGCTCAAGAGTCTTCAATCTTACTTCATATGCAAGTTACTTTTTGAAAGTGACCGAGAACATCTCATGCCATGATCCCTGAGTCTTTCAAATTGATAAAATATCATATATATTAGATCTTAAATCTCAAATGAACACAAAATCCAAAAAAAGAAAAACCCCTGATTTTCTTTTGCCCATTAAATTTGAAAAGAATAAAATAATTAAACATATATTTTTAATAAAAAACAGTACTTTTGTATACTAATTGTGTCAGCACAAACATATTGTTGTATTTAATTATGAACAAATATCAAAGGGTGAGATGGTGGCTCAGTGGTTAGCACTGTCGTCTCCCAGCAAGAAGGTCGCTGGTTTGAGTCCCAGCTGGGTCTGTTGGCATTTATATGTGGAGTTTGCATGTTCTCCCCATGTCGGCGTGGGTTTCCTTATGCCGAGTTCAGACTGCATGATTTTCAAAGTAGTCGTGTCACATGTTTTCACACTGCATGACTATCTGGGCTAGCGTTTCATCGCTGCTTTGTTTACACTGCAAGATGGATCGGCGACAGGGACTTTCACATTGCATGACTTTACTATAGGAAGAATCGCCGACAAGTTCCTCCAAACTACGTCTCACAGCCAAAAACACGTCGTATATCTTTTGTTATTAACTACTTAACGAGAAAGAAGCCTTTAATGGGGTAGAAAATGTAGATATTTGCTCACCTGGGTTTAAAGGGAATTAACCATTTCTCCTCAACGTTGATAATAAACTAATTTCTTTCTGTATGAAACGTCAAACAGACACGGTTGCTCTCGAGTCCTGTAAAACCTCCACTAGTTTTTCCTCCATTTCGTGGGTCCAAATAAACCAAAAATGAGCGCTTTTAACTTCTCCCCCAGCCTCCCGCTGGCCTGCAGCAGGTATACACACACACACACACACACAAGTGAATGCTGCTCGCTCATTGGCTGTAGGCGATCGCCTATGTTATTTTCAGTCAAAACTCAATTCACACGGCATGATTTGAATCGCTGACAGCTCCAGATATTTAGCATGCCAAATATCTCACAGGCATTGGCGATTCTCTCAGATCGCGTCTTTGATAGTTCACACTGTGTGATTGTCACTCACGTGCACGAGCAGCGATTTGCCTGTGATTTCAGGCATTTGTCGGCGATTTCTCAAAATCTGTCGGTGAGCCAAAATCGGGGCTAAAATCACGCAGTCTGAACTATGCATTAGAGTGCTCAGGTTTCCCCCAAGGTCCAAAGACATGTGGTACAGGTGAATTGAACTAAATTGTCCGTAGTGTATGAGTGTGAATGAGTGTGTACGGGTGTTTCCCAGTACTAGGTTGCGGCTGGAAGGACATCCGCTGCATAAAACATATGCCAGAATAGTTCATTCGGCTGTGGCGACCCCTGATAAATAAGGGGCAAAGCCAAAGGAAAATGAATAAATGAATGGATCCTGAGAGAAAAGAGAGTATAAAAGACAGGAAGTGTGTTACAGAAAGACACTGTTTCTCTGTCACAATCCAGATCAACTCTCAGATGTTCAAGATTCTGTTTAACAGGAAAACCAGAACCTACAGTACTACACACTTCAGACACCAGTGTTACAGGGCACCTATTATGAAAATGAACTTTTGGAAGCTGTTTGGATATATTTGTGAATACCTGTTTGGTATTATGTGAAACACAACAAGTGTTAACACAACAAATATAAACAAGCAAGTCTCTTTTTTTTTTTAATTTCCTGATGTACAAAATTTCCCCTATCGCGCATGAGTGAGAGAGACTTCTCTAGGCAGGCTTGGCGCATACGCGTTTATTCAGTTCAGCCATACCCTGCAGAGTATGACAGCACGAAGACTCCGCTACTCTTTTTATACTGCTCAAAAAAATCTATCTTTGTTGCGTGGTATCACTGTGCGCGTATAAAGCTGTAAGTAATTATCGTTCTTATCATTCTAGAAGTATTTATAATGTGTCTGGTATAATCAGGGCCGGAGCCAGTTGAACTGCCGCTCTGGGCAGAGGACGATCACGCCGCCCCTCAACCCCAATGTGAAAACGAAAGTGACCGGTTATGAAAATGAAGTGACGTTTCGCGGACCTCTATTCTGCCACCCTATGCGCGGAAATAACTGAGGACGCACGAGTGTCGCGGATCTCTAATCTGCCACCCTACGTGCAGATTTAACTGAGGACACGCGGGTGATGATGGAGGTGTCGCTGACGCTGCCCTCTCTATTCTGTCGCCTATGCGCAAATATATCTGAGGACGCAGGTGGTGAGGGAGGCGTCGCGGACACAACTGAGGACGCGGGTGGTAAGAGGGGTGTTGCGGACGCCGCCCTCTCTATACTGCCACCCTAGGCAGCCGCCAAGGTCGCCTCTATGGACGCGCCGGCCCTGGGTATAATCAGGTCTAATTTACCTCAGAAAATCTAATCCTAGTGTACAATCGCGGCAGTGCCCGATAGTTTAATTATTTATTTAATTGTTTATCATACGTCAGTTTACTTTCACTACTTTAACAGTTTCAGTTTCAACAACGATATTAAGTTTGTTTCATTTTGTCAGATGAATAGTTATCATGCGGAGCGCACGTGATAGTTACAAAGGTGCATGCACAAAGTGTAATCTGACACCACTAATTAGTACCTAAAGCAGCTGCGCTGGTCTTTCGAATTATATTGCATGTACTCCATATATGTATCAGTAAAGATTGTTTTGAGTGGTTGAATATTGTTTATAACTTTGTATATTTGTCACTTTATACCTTTTATGTATATTTACAATTTATTACTGTTCTTCGACAGAAACCGCACCATAAAATCAAACAAAAGTGAATGTCGTCATAAAGAAATAAAGGAAATTGGACATGTTCATTCTGGAGTAGCTGCAGTTCTTTCTAACAGATGAATTAGGCCAGTTGGGTTCCAACCACACAATAGCGTACAGAATATCCCACAACTGAAGTTAAAATAAGATAGTTTTCTCCACCCACCGAGTTGATTCACAGGAGCGTATTAACATGTCTCCATAGTAACACGTATAAACATGTCCACAGAACAGGATTTGCAAAGAAACTGGGATTAAAAGATTTGTTCCAACTCTTTTTCTTTTTCTTGTTTACTGACTGTTATTGTCCCTTATGTATGTACTCTGACCTCTCTACCAAGTTACCTTTACACACACACACACACGTTTGTTTTTGTGAAAAGTGGGGACATTACATAAGTTTCCATTCATTTTTTACTGTCCAAAACGTATAGTGTATTGCCCTCACCCCACCCTACCCCTAACCTTAACCATCACAGGAGTCGGTGTGCAGCTTTACTCTCTGATTAAACTCATCAATGTGGGATTTATAAGCATTATAAGAAATGAGGATGTCATCAATGTCCTCATATTTCACCTCCTTTTTGTAATACCTGTGTCATACCCATGTCATTATACAGATTTGTGTCCTGATATGTCACAAAAACACGTACACACACACACGCACACTAGCATGCACGCATGCACACACACACACACACACACACACACACACACACACACACATTTATATTCTATATCCCAGTTTAAAATGTTTTTAAAAAGAGCATGTTTGTAATAAAGAAAAAACAGTATCATCGCTATGTAATTCATAAACTATATACAACATCAACTACATACGAGAATGCTTCAGACACACAGGAGTGCCTGCTTGTGGATGTTAAATCAGTTTTATTTTGTACAGTAGCATAATGGATATAGCAGTGTATATTAACTGGTATCTGGTAAAATTAGCTTTAAGTAGACGTGCAAAGTAAAACAGAGCAAAGTTAAATGTATGTGTATGCAAATTGTATAATGGCATTTGTGTGTGACTCGTTGCATAAAACCTTGAATAAACTCCACCATAAATACCAACCCAAGCTCATTCTGGAAACGTAGCCCCGCGGACGTTTCTGGAGAGCGCGATTTACGTGGCCGGAGGTACGTAAAGGCCGCGTTTGTTTTTTTTCGAGCGAACGCTGCGGGGCGTTGTGGCGCTGCTCTGCCCCTCCTCTTCGCGCTCGCCGGCCGACGGCTCGCCTCCAAGTGGAGGGCTTTCCCGACGCAATTAGTTTGTCCGCCTAGCACACAGTGTTGCGTCGTCGGAGCGGAGGCCCCGGACGAGGAGGAGCCGGCCGCGGTGGACGACGACCGGGATCGAGTCCGGGGAACTGCAGGTTCCGGAAATCAGGTGAGACGAAAAACGGAATCCGAAAAATGAGGACGAGAACGCGGCGGGTTCCGAAAACGTGGTCGAAATCGAAGACGAGGGCTTTTGCTTTTTTTTTCCCCCCGATCCGGCGGCTTTTCGCGCGAGAACAGCCCGAGACGCGAAAAAGTGCGCACAGCGGCCTCTCGTGGATCAGCGAAAACAAAAAAACGCTCGAATACGTACCTCCCGGGACGTAAATCGCGGTCCGCAGAAACCTCCGCGGGGCTACGTTTCCACAATGAGCCCGGGTTGATAAATACATCAAATAAACTTACTTGCTATATTTGACTCATAAACTGCACCTCTGCTGCTGTTTATCTGACGTGACGCAGCAGTAGAAGCAGACATGCACATGGGAAGTATGAACCAGCTCATATGCATTTAAAGGCACAGGCTACAAAAAGCAGCTACACCTTGCTTTGAGCTCAAAATGGGCATATTCAGGAGGGTAAAATAAAGAATCTGATGAGTATTTTGACCTAAAACTTCACGGACGCATTCTAAAGACGCAAAAGACTTTTTTTTTTACGTCTAGTAAAAAGTGCAAAATTGAAGACCTATAATGCTCAGCAATGGATTTTAAAAAACTTTGATGATTTTCTGTTGATGCAAGCAGTTTAACATGGTAAAATCTTCAAACAATTGACTATATCATTAAAATAGAAGTAAGGAAAGACCGACTCAGTGAAGGTGGTTGTGAATGTGTGTAGATGTGTGTTTTTAAGAGGATCAGAGAAAGACACTGTTCCTCTGTCACAGTCCAGATCAACTCTCACACGCTCAAGCGTCTGTTTAACAATAAAGCCAGAACCAATAGATAGTTCACACCGCACACTCCAGACACCAGTGCTAAAGAACCCCTTCCTCTGGTTTGATGCTGTAGTTACTCCAAAATTCCAGTATAAACTTTCTTTGACCTCCACATCCCAGCAGTGTTTCCCTGAGATGAAACCCTCTGAACCCAGAACACAGTACATTTGGTCAAACCTCTCCGGATTATCAGGAGATGGCTGTGTGTTCCTTCTATTTCTCAAAGTGGTCAGATCATCAGACAGGATTAGACCTGGATGAGCAGTGTTTGGATCCAGAATTACAGGAGCTGAAGAGACAAAATCACATAATACATTTGATTATATTATTTATTCTTATTATTAATATTATTATTATACAATTACTGTATTCTATACGATAGCACAGCTTTGCTGCACGTGTTAGCACCATCACGTAATGACATTACATCATTATTCAGCATCTTTTCGCAACAAATCGACCCGCTTTTGACAACTTTCTCCCAACATTTGTTGGCACCAGTAAGAACTTGGTCATAACTTTAGAGCAAATGATGAGAAGTACATTAATCTTTTCCCTGGTAAGCTTGAAACATCTCATCTGTCAACCTGGAGTTAATATATTTGATCAGCTTTAGAACTTTACACTCCTTTCCATTTAGTTCCAATGGTGACGCAACTGAAATTTTGATTTGGTTAGTTACATACACCCAGCAAGCATTTTTTGTTTTTAACAGTTGCCCAATAGACCTCTAAACATAGTCTTCTTGGCTAAAACAAAGCTAAATTTGGGCTGTCAGTGAACATCTAATAGACATCTAAGCATAGCCCAAGAATAGGCTAGTCGTCAAATAAACAGAAATGAATGACTACACATATACAGGGCCCTATCATACACCCGGTGCAGTGTAGACGCGGCGCAATAGTCTTTTGGTAGTTTTAGCTTGGCGCAAGAGTGGTTTTGAGGCGTTGCGCTACACTGTTTAAATAGCAAATTCATTATCGCTCATTTGTGCGTCCATAGGCGTTCTGCTCTAAAAAGGGAGGCGTTCTGAGGCGGACCACTGGCGCGTTGTTTTTTTTTGAGAAACTATAACCGCTTACGCACTGCTTAATACACACAAGAGAGCAATAGGCAAATATCTTTACATATGAAAATATTTAAATATTAAGGATATAAATAGGATATAATAAGAATAGATATAGGATATAAATATAAAGGATTAAAATATTACAAAACATATTATTTTCTAGCCTACATAAATATGAAAAATCACTGCTTTTATGTCTTCTTCATCTCGGGAGGCTTTTTCAGTTCATTCATAACAATTTGCTTTTGTATAATGTTATTATTATTAGCAGTATTATTTATTATATCCATATTTATATTTGTTTTATTAAAAACAAGCTTAGATTTGCCCACCTGCAGGTTTTAGACCATATGGGGCATGGCAGGTGTATTTAGAAATAACTCAGTATTTTGACCATACTTGGTCATTATTGTTAATTTATTTGTTTGCTGGAAATTAGAATTGAATTTAGAAATAGTTTTGAAACAAATCTTTGTGCTTAACAAACAAAATTAATTATTTATAGACTAATTGATGTCTGTGCGTAAAGGTTTCCCTATCCAAGAGCGAATGTGAAAGTAGTTCTATTATCTCTCATTCTCACGCAGTAGATGCTCTGTTTAACAGTTTTCTGTTAAAAAACTGTCAACTGTTACCTGTTTGCCAGTGAAATGCTCATTTTTTCCACTTAGACTTACTTTGCGTCCTGTAAATAGTGAATGCGCTCTTGGCGTGACGCAGCTGGCTCTTAAAGGGAATGGGAGATGAGACTCTAATTGGTTTATTCTCAAAACACACCTATAACTCATTAAGAAAATAAACTCAACCCTTTTAGACCATGCACCTTGGCGCAAAGCGCATTTTCCCGCCCGTAAATTAGCAAAAATGCGTTCTGACATGCCCTGAAAGCGTTTGCGCCCTGCGTTTTGCGCTCTGCGCATGGACCATCAAAATAGAGCCCAAAGTCTGTCTAGTCTGTCTATTTGATGACTAGTCTAGTTTTGGGCTATTCTTAGACGTCTATTAGATTTTCGCTCACAGCCCAATTTTAGCCTTGTTTTAGCCAAGCTGTTAACATTTAGATGTTTATTAAACACAAAATTGCTTGCTGGGTACATTCTCAATTTTGTACATTCTAATTTCCATATGTACCTCATGTATCTAGTGCTAGTCCTTTATATTGCTTCTGCAGCTATCTTAAAGCTGCCTTTAAAAATGTGTTGTTTTTCATTCACTACACTGACCACAAGAGCTTATTTGTTTGATTAGATCAGACGTGTCAACACTCAGACCTGGAGGGCCGGTGTCCTGCAAAGTTTAGTTCCAACCCCAATCAGACACACCTGGGTTAGCTAATCAAGCTCTCACTAGGCTTTCTAGAAACATCCATGCAGGTGTGTTTAGGCAAGATGGAGCTGAAATCTGCCGGACACCGGCTCTCCAGGAGTTTGGACACCCCTGGATTAGATAGATAACATTAGATTTGCAAGTTTGATGCTTTAAAAATATGGCATGGTGAGGATATCTACTGGTTACAAATGTAAATACAACAGGAATAGCTGATCAAAAGCTGAAATAATTTTGGAAGTTCATCAGAGTGATGATTCTTTAAGCAGGAGCAAACCATATTTTCATCACTTTTAAACTTTAGACTAAACAAAGAATGTTTCTGTTCCCTGCTGTAGCTGTAAATTCAGTTATTGCTATATTTCTACTTATCATTACTGAATGGCAAAAAAACCTTTATGGATAATGAGTGACTGGTTTGTGCTTATCACTTCAAGTGTTGCCACTAGGGATGTAACGGTATTGTAAATACCGTCATACCGCAATATTAAATTTTTTCGATATTACCGAAGTCGCATGACTCGGTAAAACTATAGGTCTTCTGAGAAAATTTGCTCAGGCGAATGAAGCGAACGGGAGGTAGCTGAAACTTCATTTCCCATCAGCCCATGCGTGGCCATAATCCTTTGCGGTCTGTTGTCGCTACAGATCCAGTAATGCGGAAATGGAGTGTGCTGCTAGTAGCGGAGATGAAAAAAAGATGGAAATGATCGAACCTAAAGCGGGTGTTGTCGCCGCGCGCGTGCTGATCAGCTGTGTTGTGGCGCGCGTATTGTAAAGCGCCGAGGGGGGGTTGAGCGCGCATACTCAAGAGAGGTGTTATCGAGCGCCTACTGAAGGGCTGGACTGGACGGAGGTTGTGTCGCGTCGCGGGGGCACTTTTGATCGTTTTGGAAGGGCATTTTCTATCCAAGACTAAAAAGGGCATGTGCACTGCACAGGTTGAGCCCTATGTGTGCACGTGCCTGCAAGTTGGGGAATACGACTAATAACAGTCATGGGGACTGCAGAAACACAGCACACTGTTCAGATTGATGCAGACATTGACTTGTACCGCAAAGAGATCTCTATCTCACTCATGGTTTGTCCTCTCAAGTGGGGGAAAGACAATGCACAACGTTACCCCACTGCTGTCAACATGGGCCAAGTCATATCTCTCTTGTCCCAGAATCCTCAGTCCCAAATGAGAGGGTTTTTTTCTGTTGCAGGGGACATTGTAAATGCCCAGAGATACCAGCTTTTACCAGATTATAGTTATATGATAATTTTCCTTTAAACCCATCTCTATCTAAGTGAGTGATTAAATGTTAAATGTGATGAGTTTTTAACAATACTAAATTGAAACTTTATTTTTTTTACATGGTTTAATAATTTTTTGTTATTAAAATTGAAGTTCCTGTTTCAAAGCTAACAGATAGATGGCTAATTTGTATGTCATTGACACTTTTGGCACTTTTGGAGTATTTTCAAAAGTTTTTTTTTTTTCCTGTAAATGATTCAATAAATACCGTACCGTGACATTCATACCGAGGTATTACCGTACCGTGAAATTCTGATACCGTTACATCCCTAGTTGCCACCCCTTTACTATATGACACCTCCACCTAACACCACCCTTAAATTTTTGTCTTTTCTTTGGCTTAGTACCTGATTTAAAGGGCCCCGAAACCCCCCTGTTTCAGCAGGGTGTTTTCACACTTTAAGTTTGTAAAAAGTCAGGAAAGTGGCTCTGTTTAGGGGGGAGTGTAAGAGGAGGGAAAGAGGGAAGGTGCATAAAATTTGCAGAAAAATGGGAGTTTCGATTTGGGCACACGCTGATTTTCACAGAGGCAAAACAATCACACAGACGCAGAGAAGAAAGACAGTGACTGTGTTTACATGGACATCAGTAATCAAATTATTGGACAAATGATTAAACGTTTGACTTTAACTGCAGTTTGGCTCTTTCATTCAGGAACATTTCATTCGTGCTTCTCATGACAAACGAGATATTTGATTCGAGGAATTACTGGAAGTGTTTAATTTTAACGCAGTTTAATAACGCACGGCATGTTTGAATGCAGCACACTCAGAAACATCACAAAGTACTCCCAGGTACTGACAGCCAGTCTACACACTGGAATACATGCTCTAATACAAGGATCTAATCGATGTGACACAGCTTAGAAAAATTGTTTTCAACTGGAAGAACAAATTTGCTCGAAATAACACAAAACAACTAATTTTCACTTTTAATCAAATATATGTGTCCTAATATTGTTTTAGCATTATGGGACACATATATACGACTATCAGCAGCTAAAAAAAAAGTATTTTGGTGTTTCGTGCCCCTTTAACAGGTTCATTTTACAGCTATTTTCTGTGTACACGAAACACCCATAAAGGAACTTGACTCAGAGGAACCTAAAACCTGCTGCAGCAAGGGTTTTACAAGTTTTATTGCTGAGCAACACAAACAGAATGCAGACTAGGGGTGTCAAAATTAATTGTTTCTTCGGTGCACCACGATGCAGACACGGACTGTATCGATTCAGTAATAACCATAACCAGTTATTATGTCGTGACGTCATTTATCTCCTATGCGCTCTGTCGCGAGGGAGGTGAGCGCCGTTATTTACAACACTCAGCCAACTCAGGGCCAGCCCGTGGCATAGGCACCATAGGCAAATGCTAAGGGCGCTGTATATCCAGGGGGGCGCCAGAAATGAGCAAGTGGTGCTCGCTGCAGAGCCATTTGACGAGAGCTGAGCTCCAGCGAGGGGAAGCTTAAGCTTGAGCTCCACCTTTTTTGCACTTCTTCTACGAGTGATGTCACTGGGGGTAGGGTTAGGGGTGGGGTTGGTGTACGCATTAAAACAGCTTACAGGAGGAGGAGCGACAGCTCATGCTCCCCCTCGCTGGAGCTCAGCTCTCCTCAAATGGCTCTGCAGCGAGCAAGCGCGCTTCAGTTGGTTTTGTTTTCGATTTTCCTGACACACATTCAGTTATAGACGGCAATAACTCAAAAAACGCTTACCCTAAAAAGGTCTAAAGTGTGTTTCCTACAGAAAGACAAAGCTGGTTATGTTTCACAGCTGTCTTTCTTTTTTTTCGCTCGACATTACGAACACTGCTCCGTTTAAGCCCTCGCAGTCTGCGTTTACTTTAGCCGGCAGATATCGCGTTGAGAGGAGCTCTCAGTAAGGGACCGTCGGAAAAGTGCTTATTTTTTTTTCGTTCTTTTCGTTTTTCTGCTCCGCTCAGCGCGAGCTCTCCCTGTTGCGAGGGCTTAAGTGTGTTTGTTTGTGTGTGTTTGCGTGTGTGTGTTTGTTTGTTTGATGCTGTCTATGTTTGTGAGTGTGTTTGAATGAGAGACAGTGTGTTGCTGTGTGTCTGTGTGTTTATACAGACAGCATGTTATAGCCTCCCCCCTAAAATATAACACTATATATGGAAAGCATCGTCAATGCACCGTGATGCACCAAAATATCGAATTGAACCGAATCGATGGCATGATAATCGTAACCGAACCGAACCGTGAGACCAGTATAGGTTCACACCTCTAATGCAGAAGTATTAATGCACGGCTCCGTACAAAGCTTGTGCTGTGGGTTACGGCAATCACTTGATGCAGAAGTACAATTGAGCCTTAACTTCTTGTTTTTTGTTTCTTTTCCTATTAATTTAAGCTTTTGGGTCCTCGCTCATCTTCCTTTACCCCAAACCCTGATAGTACAGACTAGCCAGAATCAGAACCCAGCAAACTGTTGCATGGATGTGAAGGAGTTTGTGAAGATCTTCCATGAAGCAGCTTAGGGGCTGGGATTAAATGACTGCACTCCTGTAAACCTCTTAGATGAGGGGTAGGGGGGCTTTTTATATCAACAGTTTTTGGACCTCTGGTTTGTCAAACAGCCCAAAAAGGGCCTCCAGAGAAAATATGGACGTTCTTTCCACCCGCAAACCATCTTGGTCCTAGCTACCTGTTGTTCCCCACTTAGAAGAGGAGATAGAGGAGGGCCTCCTCAGCCTTAGAATGCCTGTTGGCTCCAGAGTGGTTTCAGGTTCCTTGCCCTGCCAGCCCTAGCCCGACACAGACCTCCAGCTGCAGACACCTTACTACATACCCTTTCATAATTTAGCATACAGATATTGTAGAGACTCTTACTGTAGTGGACGATGTCCTGCATCTTCTTCCAGACTCTGAACGGCAGGTTCCCCAAGTAGTGAGACACATGAATCAAAGCTCCAGAAGGCGTCTGTGGATCCGGCTGTGAGATCTGGACTCTGGAAGAACATTCAGGAGTCAGAACTGCAGGATTCAGAAGCAGAGAGAGCAGAGACACCAGCAGATCACTCACCTTTCCATCCAGACTGAAAACTCCTGCAGAACAAACACACAACTGATCATCAAGAGCTCAATCCATCATCAATCAATCAATCACTGATCTGAAATCAGACCTTTAGAAAGCAGACGTCATTGGCTTTCAGCATCTCCTCCGTGTCTTTGATCGTGTGTGAAAGAGCTGAGATGTGTGTGTTCATCTCCTCCAGCTTCTCCTTCATCATCTGCTTCTTCTGCTCCTCTTCCTCCCTCAGTGCAGTGATTGTAGCTTCTTCTTCATCTCGGAGAAACTGATGAAGCTTCTCAAACTCATGTTTAACCTGATGCTCTGTGTGATCGGCTTGAGACTGAAAGCAAACCACAGACACATTTAATAATCAAAAGTCACGACACATCAACATAACAACATAAATATCCAAAATAAACTCAGACAGTCAACAGACCCAGAAGCCTAATGATGTTTATTATTAGCAAAAGGAATACATTATTTTAAAAATAACAAGTCATTTATTTAATAGTGTCTCCTGCGGCTGCAATGAAAATGTTTGAATTGAAATTTTTCCTCACCTTGATGTGTTGAACTGTTTTCTCAAACTCTGCTTTCCTTTCTTCATTGCGTTTCAGTTTCACTTGTAACGACTTCAGTGCTGTATTGAGCTCCTCCTGAAAATTAAACAATTTAAAAACAAATAAAATGCCAAATGACTGCGATGAGAAGTCATTTGGTGCTGTATTCAGCAGAATTTCCTACTAAACTGATTCAGAAATGAATATCTACTGTCAAATAAAACAAGGACAGCGTGATTGAGCAAAATGTAGCTTATAAAGACACAATTTTGTAATGAAACAAGAAGATGTTCAAGAACAGCTTGGCCTGTGTAAATATTAACTTGACCTCATAGTCTTTATATTCTGGTCTATGAAACTGCATTCATTATGTTGTAAAAGAGGAAAGATGCAACAAGTCTGATTACTGACAATAGTGTCAGTGCAGTCAAACTGATAGAGCTTCAGGCAATATAAAGCAGCTTTATTTATTTATTTTTTTTTTTTATGTAGCCAAACTAATGCAGTCAGTCAAAACCCACCACAGCAGTGAAATACATGATCACAGTTATCATTGTTTGGATCATGGGATGGCGTCATGGTGGCGCAGGGGATAGCTCGATCGCCTCACAGCAAGAAGGTTGCTGGTTCGAGCCTCGGCTGGGTTAGTTGGCATTTCCGTGTGGAGTTTGCATGTTCTCCCCCGATGGCGTGGGTTTCCTCTGGGTGCTCCCCACAGTCCAAACACATGCACTTTAGGTGAATTGAATAAGCTAAATTGGCTGTAGTGTGTGGGAATGTAAGAGTGTGTTTCCCAGTGTTGGGTTGCGGCTGGAAAGGTTTCCACTGCATAAAACATGTGTTGGATGAATTGGCGGTTCATTTCGCTGTGGCGACCCCTGATTAATAAGGGGACTCAGTCAAAAAGAAAATGAATGAATGTTGGTATTGCATTTTGTTTGATGACTTAAAATTAGCACGAGCATAACAATAAATAGATGTTTGTCATTTTAGGATGAATAAAATAGCTGAGAAAAATATTGAGAGCATGAATGTGCTGTTATCTGTGCTTCTGACCAATTACTGTTCTTTACATATTCAATTCAGTTCAATTTGTTTATTGTCATGTGCACAGTAAGGAAAGAAGAAATTGTAGAATTGGCAACAATGAAATTACATGTATATATACATGTCTTTGAACGTAAACAATATATAATATTGATTGTGGAGTAATGTTGTAAACAGATGTTAGTATATGAATAAAGAAACTCTTGTCTTACCTTGTATGCAGAAGCCACTTCACTGATGGGTCTGAATTTGTGATTGTCGTGTTGTTGTAAAGTAACACACATCACACACACAGGCTGTTTGTCCTCCAGACAGAAGAGTTTGAGCTTCTCACTGTGTAAACTGCAGATCTCCTCAGATGCTGATGAACATCTCTCATTTCTCCCCTTCAGGAACAACTCACACAGGTTTTTTAATGCAAGATTAACTGGAGGTTCACCTTTTGAAGATCTTCTCCGGCAAACAGGACACTCCTGAGTTGTCTTGGTTCTCCAGTACTGCTGAAGACACTCTTTACACACACTGTGACTGCATGATAAAACTACAGGATTCTTGAAGATTTCACAGCACACAGGACAAGAAAGATCTTCGGATACATTTAGTGAAGCCATTTCCACAGTTTGAGCTCCAGAAATCTGAACCTGACTTTCACTTTCTGAATGGCGGCTTCAAAAGTCAATCACTAAGATCTTTGCCTTCATTATTTGCTGATTTCTGATTCTTTTTTAAATCCAGTACAGAAATAAAGAGAGTCAGTGTGACAGAAAGCAGAAATAACAAGCCAGTCTTTTCCTGGACAGAACTGTAAAATACTGGACTTTTGATCTCATTTGGGTGTGGTAAAAAAAGGTCAAAGATTGCACAAGGATTTTCAGGTAAAATAATAAATCACAGAAGAAACACAGCTATTAAAAAGACCTTTAGGATTACTAGAACACCAACAAAACAACAACAACAAAACTTGTTTATTCATGTTGAAATATATATATATATATATATATATATATATATATATATATATATATATATATATATATATATATATATATATATAATAAATAAAAGAAGAGAAAATATGGCTCACTTGTAAAATGTACAAGATAGGCTTCATATGTTAGTTCGGAGCCTTCTTTTATGTATATTTGGAGAATGAGCAAGGTTTATCACTCATTGCTACAGATAAACTACAATTCTTCTGAAACTATAAATATGAAATATAATAATATTAACAGCAATAATTCTATGTGTGTTTACTGAGGAACTGGATGGGCTGCTGCCCTCATTCCTTAACTAATAGTATTAGATGACATTAACATAGATCTGGAGAAAACGCATATAGACCTTGACTCTACCTCACTGGATCATTTGATCTACCACTACAAGTACACCAATCAGCTTGACCAAATATAGGCAAGGTATTGCACTTCAGAAAACCATTTAGTTTTACCAGAGCTCAGATCTCTTTACATCATTAGTTTTAATTTAAAACCTTATACAGGTATACAACCATCATTCCAGCTGGTTTCTTTTTAATGATTTCTTATATCTATGCTTTTTTTTCCCTCCACCTAATTCTCCTCTAGACTTGCCTTTCCCTAGACACTTTCTCCTGACGCATTCCCAGGCAAGCCGAGAGACCCTTCAGGGTGTCTTGTGTCTTTCTCAGGACTTCCTCCATGTGAGACAAACCTGGAACACTTCCCTGGGTAGGCATCCAGGGGACATCCAAATCAGATGCCCGAGCCACTTTTTCTCAATGTGGAGGAGCTACATTGTAGGATACTCCGAGCTCCTCTTGGGTGACAGAGCTCCTCATCTATAAGGATGTCACCTTTTCCTGATGGAATCTCATCCCTGCCATGACACACTCGGCAGCAAACTCTCCCAGTTCATGCTGAAGATCTATGTCTGATTAGGCCAACAGAACAATATCATCTGCAAATAGCAGAGATGAAATTCTGTAATCCCTAAACAATTATGAACAGAACCGGTGACAAAGGTCAACACTGCTGGAGTCCAAAATGTATCTGGAACAAGTCTGACTTATTGCCTGCAATGCGAACCAAATTCCTGCTCAGTTCATGCAAGAGCCTGTACAAAGTGCCTCCGACCCCATACTCCCAGTGCACCCCCCACAGAATGCCACGAGGGAAACAGTCGAATGCCTTCTCCAGGTCCACAAAACACAAGTGGGCTGGTTGGGCATACTCCCAAGAACCCTCCTAGTGATGTTATAGAGTTGGTCCAGTGGTCCAAAGCCTGGATGAAAACTCCATTGTAAGGTAAATGTGTGTTTGGCATGCTGTCCCGAGAGATAGCATGGGCTGTGGCTTGGGGAGGGTTTGGAGGAATCAGAAAGTTTTGGGGTTGTTGGATAGAAAGTGAAGCAGGGAGTGAGGGGCTGGTGGAAAAGCTTGAATGGGGGCTGGTGGTTGGCTGGTTGGGTAAGGACTTGAACCAGTGAAGTCCTTCAGCTGGGAGGGAATCCGCTGCTTAAAGCATATGCTGGATAAGTTGGAGGTTCATTCCGCTGTGGCGACCGCAGATTAATAAATGTAATGTAATGTAATGTAATGTGTATTGTGTATGGCCATACACCCAAAGTGCTTTACAATCATGAGGGGGGGGGGGGGGGGTCTCTCCACACCTCCACCAGTGTGCAGCATCCACTTGGATGATGCGACGGCAGCCACAGGACATCGACGCCAGTGTGCTCACCACACACCAGCTATTGGTGGAGTGGAGAGACAGTGATAGAGCCAATTCGGTGGAAGGGGATGATTGGGAGGCCATGATCGAATGGGCCGATAGAGGGAGTTTGGCCAGGACACCGGGGTTACACCCCTGCTCTTTCACGAGAAGTGCCGTGGAATTTTTAATGACTAAAGAGAGTCAGGACCTCGGTTTAACGTTTCATCCGAAAGACGGCGCCCACTGACAGTGTAGTGTCTCCTTCACTTTTACTGGGGCATTAGGACTCACACAGACCACAGGTTGAGCGCCCCCTGCTGGCCTCACTAACACCACTTCCAACAGCAACCTAGTGTTCCCTAGTGGTCTCCCATCCAGGTACTAACCAGGCTCAGCCCTGCTTAGCTTCAGTGAGTAACCGGTCTTGGGCTGCAGGGTGATATGGCTGGGGACTAAGCCAAAAAAAAAGAATGAATGAATTAGTTTAAAGCCGCCAGAAGTAGTAGTCACAGGATCTAGTGACAAAACAAGTATTTGTTCTCTTTTTGTTTTCTCGTACAATTATCTCAATTTTATTACATTATCAATCATTTGAAGAGGCAGAATCAGGTTTAACTCTTACAGACATGGTTATGCAAAGACATTAAATTATTATTGATACATTTTTTTTCTTTTTACATAAATACAATGTTACTTTGGCTTCTTGTTTATTGATCTGTTGTCTAAAAGTGATTTGACAGTGTCAGTGTGATTGCAGTGCTGAACCAATCACAGATCAACAACACTCTCACTCATGTAATGTGGATTACATATAAAAGAAGATTCAAACCTACAGGTGTAACTTTGACTGACTACTGAGCGGTAAGATCCTCAGAGAAGAAAACAAACCACAATAGAAGAAAGGAAAGACAGACTCTGTGAAGGTGGTTGTGAATGTGTGTAGATGTGTGTTTGTTACAGGATCAGAGAAAGACACTGTTCCTCTGTCACAGTCCAGATCAACTCTCACACGCTCAAGTTCCTGTTTAACAGTATAGCCAGACCTTACAGTACAACCATACCCCAGACTCCAGATACCAGTGGTAAAGAAATCACCACCCTTGATCTGGTTTGATGCTGTAGTTACTCCAAGACTCCAGTATAAAGTCTCTTTGACCTCCACATCCCAGCAGTGTTTTCCTGAGGTAAAACCCTCTGAACCCAGAATGCAGGAATAACAGTCAAATCTCTCTGGATTATCAGGAACAGGTTGATCCTTTCCACTGTATTTCACACTGGTCAGATCATCAGACAGGACGAGACGTGGATGAGCAGTGTTTGAATCCAGAATCACAGGAGCTGAAGAGACACAATCAACAGCTGATAAGATGTTCTTCTAATGATTAAGAGGGAAACAAACAGATTATTATGAATTATGAAACCCGACCTTTTGATCAAACACATCATCCTCTGATCAACTAATTAAAGTAAAAAACACACAGGAGGTTGTTATCACAGAATGAAGCCTGATAGCCTTACCGCAATCTGACACATAGGGGAGAACTGTTGAATAAGACAAAATATTAGAAGAAAATTATATTTTAGAAAAATCAATTAATAAATAGATCAGAATAATCGACCCATTGAGATATAAATTCTGTGCATAAAACTCAATATCTTTAACATTTATTATCAAGCTCAATCAGACTTGCATTTAGGCAAGGGAACATGATATCTCTGTTACCTTCAGTCAATCACTATGAGTTATGTTTAAAATTTGACTAGGGCAAATAAAATTTTTTAACTATAAAACTATAAAAAAACTATAAAAAAAATTCACAGCATCTGAATCTGTTGCACAT